GGGAGGCTTCGCATCCGCGCCCCCCCCCCCCTTACAGAAATCCCGGATCTGCACCTGAACATGTACCAGGCACAAGGCACAATAAATAGGCCCAAATACAGAGATGTAGGCCTACCATAGTAGGGGGGGGGGTACATTTACCAGTGCACTAGATTAGCCGCACTTTTCACATTTTCTACACGTACCTCCCTGATTTCAGCTTGCTGTAACACATTAAAATTTTTAAAGATTTCAACCCTTTTAATATATAACAGGGACGTTTTCTGACAGTCTTCCGTTGATCCGTTTTTCCATCCTACATTTTTGACGGCCTAAATCGTCTAAATCCGCCCCTGTTTAAACAGGCTTACATCGCTTAAAAGTTTTTAAAAATCGGGCACACAAAATAATTTTTGTAGGCTATTATCCTTAAAAATCACAGATATCAATTCTTATTTATAAATATTAACATTACCTTCTTCTGGAAGACGAGGTACAAATAGGCCCTATGTTGTTACACGTATATTTGATTTTTTAAAAATTCATTTATCAATCTTTTGATTATTTTACATCTGGTGTTTTAAATGACTAATCGACAGCATTTCTGTATTTTATTAAACGCAAAGAAGAGGTATGTTAATCTGTTATACTGATTGCATTTAGCGAGAGTCAGTGAAGAGTCCACGCTTAGTGCAGGTGGACTCTAAATTTTCGCACATGCGTAGACGTTTAAAGTCAGTGCTCGCGCATGGCCTCCTTTTCATCACAATACATTCTACACCTTAGATAACTCAGATAGAGGCTTATGACGTAGAAGGAAATCCCACTTGTGTTACGTGCAAACTTTCCTGGTTCCATTATTTTCCTTGGTTTCGCTTGGTTTTTACGATTTCGATTGGTTTCGAAATCACACGACGAAATCACACATTGTATAAAGGAATACAAGATCTGTTTCTTGACCTTGAGAAACCGACGACAAAAGTCCAAAACGTGACGGCGCAGGATAATTAATGAAAGTTGTCTTAACGTTGTTCGTGCTGAAATCCAGCATCCGCTTTTAAATAAGGATTTTCCAAGTGGCTCAAAGAAGTTTTTGATAATCTAATTTAACATCTGGTTACTGAAAAGTTATTCCAAGAAGGAACGTAGGTAAGTTAAATATAAAGAGAGGCCCAACGCCCGGAATTATATGTGACACTGGCAGACATGGACCCACCTACTCAAGATCTAGAAACAGATTGTGGAGCTGTACCAAAGAAATCAGAAGGTAATGAGTCTCCAGAATCGACCAACATGACGCACTCTTCTTTGCCAGAGGGCTTACGCAAAAACCTGATGAATAACTTGCCGCAGGAAAGTAGTGTACAACTGTCAACCGAAAATCTTGTTAGTATACTTACAGAAAAAGATCAAGATTTAGCACAAGAAAAAGAGAAAGTAAAACAACTCGAAGAAGCTCTAGAAAGGACAGAGAACAGAATGGCAAATATCATGAAAGTTCAGCTCAATCTTTCCCAAGAATTTCACAGCTTACCATTGAAATTGGACTCTGGGAAAAGTGGCACTTCTGATAAAAATCAAACTGACAGTACACTAAGACCAAGGGGATTGGCAGATGCCAATGAAGGACAGACAGAAAGCATGGCAAATATGACATCCCAGCTTGTACTGACACCTGGGATTTCAAAAACAATGTTTGACAATGTTGTAAGGGAGAATGTTAAAATGAAGAAAACCGTACGAGAACTGTTGAAAAAGGAAGGAATGGATGTAAAAATGTTCATGGTACGAAAAATTTGACATTTGAAGAAGGAAGTATTTAAAGCTACATGCAATATTCAGTTTTGAAATTTGTGATGGAAATATTTTGTATAATATTTAGGTAAAGAAACCAGTAATGTATAATTTATATTGGACATCAAGAAGCCTACCTCCTTCCTTTCATACATAAACCTGTGGCAAATCTTGGGAAATTAAAGTTTTTATTTAAAACTGCATTGAGAGGAGGAATCTGGATGGGAATTGGCCAAAATTTTTATAACAGAAACAAAATGCTGCAGTTGATAGGGAACCTCCCTGTCTTCTTAAAAAGATTTATGGAGGAATATTCAGTTAAAAATACTCCTCAAAAAATAACTTAGGCAGATTAGTTATTGTGGCTATGATTTTATACATAATTATTATTTGCTTGGCAGGTCATTTTATGATTATACAAAGATGAGTTGTATAAAATATTTAACCATTATCTGCTTTAGGAGACAAAAGAATTGGAGGAGGTAATTAAAAAACTTAGAGAAGACTTGTTTCAGAAGCAAGGCCAGGTAGACCAACTAGAGAGGTTAATTCAGAACAGCAGCGATGAGCAGTCTCCAGCTTTGCTACAACAACTAACTGAACTCCAGCTCAAGGTACTATCCTGTTAATTTTGCCTTTTAAAAAGTTCTTACAATTTTATGGCCAGTTTCTATGACTTGTTTGTTAAAATGCCTGTTCAAATCATCTGATGTGATTGTTTTGCATTTGAGTTTTTATTTAATTATATATATATATATATATATATATCAACATAGTTGGTATGTTCACATAAGTTTTGGAATAGAGAGAATAAGGAATGTTGGCATAAAAATTGATATTTTTATATTGAATTTTTGTATAGTTTTAACTATTGAAAAAATGTATTAAAATATATATTTATATTTTTATAGGTACCTAAACTGGAAAAGGGTCTAGCAGCCAAGTCTCAGCTTGTTGACAGCCTTAGCCAGGAATGTGATAAATTGCGAGGAGTTTGTACACAACTAAAATCTAAGGCCGACTCTCTTGAAGTAGAAAACCAGAAACTTCAAAGTCAAATCTCTTCCACTCCTAGGCAGGTAAGGACACAATACGTTAAACTCTTAATCTAGTCTACATACCAACAGAATTTTTAAGATACTTTTTGAAAGCAGTAAAACAAAACAAACACTTGTATCTGTGACTTCTGTTCTACAAAAGTGTTTGTTTGAATCACAAGGTATTGAAATAAATATTGAAATTAAGGTTTCAATGTAATGTTTATGACAATCAAATATCAATAATTTATACATTTAAGTTGTAAACAATTTTATGAAAAATTTTGAAAATGTATACAATGTTATGTGTGTTTAGTATTTATTTTACTGCATTGTAGAATGTAGAAGAACTGGGTAGACAGAGGCAAGAGTTCCAGCAAGTGTTGGAAAATTACCGAAAAGAAATTGGAAATCTACAGGGTCATCTCAAACAAGAAATAATAGCACGGGAAAAATTGCAACTTCAGTGTCAGGTATGCTCAGTCATTTTGTAGATTTTATGGAGAAAGATATTAATATATTTTTGTTTGTGGTTAATAGGGGAAAGTAAACAGTTAAAATGAACATTCCTCAGATGGTGTTTTTTATTGAACAGCCATTAAGAACTTAAGAAATTGTTTTAATAGCCAAAATGAATATAATTGTGCAAGGCTGGATTAAGATAATTTGGAACATTTGTTAACATGGGGTGAATTTTTTGGATGGTGACCATTAAGAGTTGCCTTGTATGTGTGGGTTTAGAAGTCGTTGCCATGAAAACATGTTACTTTTAATACGTGATATGTATTAAATTTTTTCATTTTTTAAAACTATAAAAAATATTTATTTTTACTCTTATATAGGAATATGCAGCAAGTTACCAAGAGTTACAAGCTCGTCAGCCAGCAGGCAACATGCCCCTCAGTCACATTGAATTGAGAGAACAAATTACACAGCTTGAACAAGAAAGGGACTTGTTGCACTATGAACTGAAAAAAACAATGGAAGAAAAAAGTCTTATAGAAACTCAGGTTTGTAACTAGAATGCAAACTAATTGTGATGACCTCCAATAAGCTCCTTTTCATCTCTGTTTGAAAGTCGGTTCTTTAGGTATTTTTTTAAGGTCAAGATGGTAATTGAGTTGTTTAATTTTATCTAAAATGACACATAAATACCCAAAGAAAAATGTTGAAAGACCAATTAGTCGACTAAAATGATTTATTGTCAGTGTTGATGTTAAATTTTGTATTTATTTATAGAATGAATTTTTCCGTGAAGATTTTGCTACTGAACAAAGAGAAAAACAGAAGCAGAAGCAAAAATACGAACTCTTCATCAGCCAACAGCAGATGCAGATCAGACAGTTAATAACAGAAGTATGTTTATTTACTTGTAACTTCCATTAAATTGAAGACATATCAAAAAACTTATTTAGTTATCATAATATTGTCTCATGTGTACTCTTAATTGTAAATATCAGTTGGGTTTTGTGAAATATATGCGAGTTACACAATCGTTATACCATTTTCAGAATGAAAAATTCCACAAACACATCCAAGAACTAAGTAAAAGCAAGAACAAACAGTCAGCACCCTATATGGCAGGATGCAGTGCTGCTATTTCCTCTCCGTTGCCTTTAAACACAAACAGGGAAGTTATGGCAGATGGACCCGGTAACATGCAACAGGAAGAGGAAGTGGAATTAGAGTGTCCCAGATGCATGAGGCAGTTTACAGACTATCAGAAATTTACAGAACATACACAAAAGTGCACAGATTCTTAAAGTTAATATTGTGAATACGTATGCAAGTGTCGAACTGCTCAATTTACTTTGGGAATTGTCAAGAAATGAAAAAATAAATGCATAGCATTGCCCAACATATAGTGGAAGAGCCAGAATTCTAACACATCAAACAGGATGTCTTTAACTGGTCAAAACAGATCTGTTATTTTAATGACGAACATAGGGCATTATGTATATTATAGTGTTTTCAGACTTGACTGCAGACAGTTATCAATAATGTATCTTTTAGTGCCTCACTGTCACCTCCGGTTAATTGTTTTCATTTTCTGTTTGTAGAAAATGTTAAAATGTTCCAAGAGACCCACTGAAAAGGGCACTTTAAAATTATACATCTCCATTTACTTTAGTTGTGATTTATATGCCTGTCATCAAACATATCAACATTCAATGGTGCTACCCTAACATTAAGGTGTTTGTTATTTGTTAATGCTGCTGAGCTTTCAAAATAAAGTTCGTTACCTACATGATTCTTTTGTTGTAGATTGAATTTTTGTAAACCCCTTAATGGGTAGAGTTTTCAGTAATTCATTCAAAAGTCATTTGTAGGAACCACGCATTTTCCATGAAATTGGTTTTGAAAATAATTTGCCAAGTACCTAATTTTTGGTCACAGTTTTGAGTTGTAAGACACTACGGTCTTCAGTGTTTAGTTTTATTTACTTTTGCTGCATCCATACATAACTTTATCTCCTTGCTCAGGCTAGATATGAATACGTACTTGGTCCAATGGATTATTCTTAAAAAATACATAATGTGAAAAAAAAACTAGAGGATCAGAGAGGCAGTACCTCCTCCGGATATTATACCACGACCTGGAGCAACTGCATTCATATAGAAAACAAAAAAACAAGTTCAATAGTAACTAATGGCATATCTCTGCCAGTTTTGGAGACATAAGGGCCTGAAAATTTAGTTCAGTTCGTGGTGAGAAGTAGGTCAAAGGTCAATTTCAAGGTCACAGATTGCATGTATACGACTTTCTATTCAAGTTCAATAATAACTATGGGCATGTCTCTGCCAGTGTTGGAGTATTTCACATTTTATTTTCAACACTGAATATTGCAACGTTGTACTTTTTGATATAGCGCAACTCCTAAACCATATGGAAAACAAGAAAATGGACACCACTTCTGGTATTGCGCTTGACATGCTCTACAAAATGCAAAAAAAAAAAACAAGAGGTATCTAGCACTTACAGTTCCAGAATTAGCATTTTCAGTTTCGGCATCTAATGGCTGCTTCTACGGGCATCACGCCTAGGCCAATGCACCAACTGAGACAAAAAAAACGAGTTCAAGTTGAGATTATATGTGACCTAAATCCAAGAGATGGGGGCACAAGTCCTTGCGGTCCAGGAGGAGAAGCGGCAATGATGACTTGTATCTGGCACCAGATCGTGCAGCCGGAGGAGCCGAACAAGACAGGCTGGGACTAAAACCATGGGCAGGCCAGCATTTAAGCTAATTATTCAAATGAGTTAAATTAAAGTTCAACAAGTTAAAGTCAAACAACATTTTGCAATTTACTCAATTTCTTAATTTGTTTTTTAAAAGCAGGAAATAACAATAACAAGCAACAACCAACTTTTATTTTTAAACCAATTTTGACCAAAATGGTTATCTTGGCCACTCAATGCTCTTTTTGACAACATGGCAGACATCTGGACATAAACATTTGGTACCGATTTGTTAAAATGGATCAACAATATTAATTACGTGGTAATATTTTGCGTTTCGCTTTTTTCTGGCACTTGACTTTTTCCCACTGTTTACTCACACCCAGTAATTTTTCTAGTGTACTGCTGTATCATGCATTTAAATATAAGCATATGGGCTATGGGTACAATTACCAATTCTTAAAATGAATGCAAAACATTGGCAACTGTGACCTAGTTGATATGTCTTCATATTTTTTTAAATAAAAAAGGCCATACTTACAATGGGTTAAAATTATTAGAAGGGGAAATTTTTTTCACAAGAATATTTGACAAAGAGCAGGTGCAGTTTGCAGTGTCAAAATTTTACATGATTTTTATTCACTTTGCCCATAATAAAAAAAAATGGCATACAGCCAATAAATGCCCATAATAAAAAAAAATGGCATACAGCCAATAAATTATTACCAGTGTTCGAAATTAACGCTGGACTGTCTGCCTGGGGTCGACAACTTACGGCACAGGACGAGAAGTTTTGCCACTCGTCAGACATTCAGTCCAGCTACTTTTCAAGATGGCTGGACCTTTGGTCCAGCAACTACAAGTAATTTTCCTAAGTGGCAAACACTGATTATTACACATCAAAATCTTATATTATTTAACAGTGTCAGTTTTAAACATTCTTACTCTTTGAAAATGTTCCGACATATAATTTCAATAACAATATTAAACCTTCTCCATCATTAAAATCAAGCAAGACCAGCATCTTGCTTCCATAAAAAATGGTTAAAAATCTTTTGACATTAAAATAGCATAATCACTGGCAGATGTGTCTTATTTTTTGCAATGTGACTGAGTAATAAGACTGATAATGACTAGAGCTATACATTACAAAAGTGTAAACAACGTATTTTGCAAAATGACTAGATGATTGGCAAACAGCATTGGCTACATGCAATAGGTGTAATTTTTATCTACTTCTCAGTTTCAACTTTTGGTAGTATACTTAAACTAAGACTGGGTTCCCATTCCTAGATCGATCCATCTGGATTGGTCCATCTCCCTGGGGAGTCTCACTAAATTGCTATCAACTTAACCAGCTTAAATGTCTGTCAAGCCTACCGAATCAGCTAAGGCGTAAAGATAATTACCCCCTAACAACTTTACTAACTAGTTAAGTTGATAGCAATTAAGTGAGACTCCCCAGGGAGATAGATCGAACCAAATATCTGTGGGAATGGTATGTAAGTACTAGATAGAACATGTATTGTCCACTGTCTGTGATATACAAGTGTGGCACTGTGCAATTATCCAGGTGTATCCTCACTAAAAACGTATTGAAGTGTATTCAAATACAAGCCATCACACACCTCTTGTAAGTGAAATACATGTCAGAATATATCAACATTCATTTTAGGCAGAACTAAAATAGTGGTACTTTAGTGCAAGAGGAAGACGTCAAAGTAGTGTCTCATAACAGTCCCCCTTTTCAAAAGTAACTCCTAACATATCTAGTGAAAAAGCGCAGCAACCAATGAACTTGTCTATGTGGTTGCTGAAAGGTTTCCTCATCAACTGCCTCGCCATGAGCCCACAGGTTTGATGCTTCCTAAACCCAAATAAAATAGTTGTTATTGAGTTTTAGCAAAAAGAGAAACAAAATGCATATTTAACAAAATTGGATTTCTACTTGTATAACAATTATTGAAAAAAAGAAAAACTGAAAAGATGAATTTTTTCTCAACACAGTAAATTTGCATGAAAACTCAAATAGGGATTGGGGAATATTTTTCTCAGATCAGCAATATGTCACATCTAGAATACCTGATGGAGCTGTTCTTTAAGCTGGCTGTTAGTGGTTATTACTGCTATTTGTGCCTCTAGGTCTCTATTAACTGATCTGTGCCCTGGATGTTGAATATGACAAATACATTATATTTTTTAAGTATGTGAAACAATACTGAGACAAGTAATGAAAATACCCCATTAAAACAACTTGATTCATAATATAAACCTGTGAATTATTGACAAGTCTATTAACTAAAGTCAGTCACATGGATCTGTGTAAAATCGGTTTTAACTTCAACATTCCATCTACAGAAGTTATAGCTAACAATTAACTTCACGACTGAAAATACCTCTAAAACCTTATTCACAGCACCACTTACCAAAGTTGGGGGATCCAACAAATGTGACAGAAGGTAAATTACTCCCTGGGAGATAGTACCACAATCCTTTGGCATGGTATGTCCACTGGGGTTTGTAAAATTCGAACAACTTGATTCTCTCTTCAAGATTCATAGCACATATCCTGTCATAGAAACCCTTGGCTATGTGAGTGTACACTGCTGGGATATTACCTGCCAAACCTCTGGCACCATAGAAACCATTCACCTGATAATATACAAATTATTTAGTTTTGGTAAAACAGAATGCATGGCACAGGGAACAATTCATCTAATCATACATCTTTATTTTTATTCATTTATTTAAAAGAAAACATTGTACGTTTTGTAAAAATGTCTATATATCACAAAACACACACACACACACACACACACACAGGGGCGTAACCAGACCTTTAAAAATTGTACGCACAGATTTTTAAAATTCCCAGCAAAATGTAGACTAACGCAAGAGATGAAGGACAGGGTAATTACAGCATATGTACCACACATCGCAGCTTAATTTCCATTAATAATAAAATCATCATTTAGTCAGAAATATTCTCGCAATTAAAAAAGTTTCAATATTCTTATTACCCAGAACGGTATATTTATTTTAAAGGAGGCTAGCTTCGCATATGTGGAACCCCCTTCGAATAATCCGGGATCCACTTCTGAGTTGAACTAAAATACGGTTTCATTCACCTTACATGTGGATGCATGCCTCCCAAAAACAACCAATTGTACGACACGGCAGAGCTCTGATACATCTAAGTTTAAAGCAATAATAACTCTTCCTTTTAGATTCAAAATTCCGCAAGAAGTACATTGTAAACAACGCCTGGAAATATATTCTATTGCATTTTCCCACTAAAACGACTGTTATTGTAGTAAAACTAAAATCTGTGCTTGTCACTAGGGCTTTCGATCCCTTTTTTCGCGGTCGACAAGTGCATCTGTTGCCAATGACGTTTAGGTGTCACGCGGATTCTCGCGTCCATTCGAGACCAAAATAACATGGCGGGAAACCCTCAGACGTAAGTTGCGAGTTTTTGTACAGTGCGTCGGATAACGAAAAGCCCAGAATTGCACACATTGTAGATATAAATGCATTTTGAGCAAAAAGACGAACATATCTTATGAATCTTATAATATTCTTATATAGTGTTGTTGTTGTCTGCTTTTCCCGCGGTTTTAAGTAGGTCACCAGAAACCATCGCTCGATACGAGAGGGCTCCGTCAGTTAAAATCTCTTAAGAGATTTTAACAAAAAACCGTACGTTTAGGAAAAAAACCCTGGATTAACTTTGAATGCAGGAATGGGGTCGTTGACCATTGGTAAGTAGGGGAAAATTGCCGTTTTTTCCAGGAAAATCGTATTTTTGGCCAAAACGAAGAGTTATTATGACTTTAATTATTTGTTTGTAAAAATTGCCCATGTCACCGTGTTAGTTTGGAGGGGTAAGCTGGGTCAAGTCCGTGTCAAAATTCTTTGAAGCTTTACAGGAAAAAGTCTTCCTTTGTTTCTCTAGCTCCTTCTTAAACCTGGAGTCCAGATTTTATCTAGTGCCCCCAGAGTTGCGGGAGCTGCTCTTTGAAAATAACACTCAGGTAGATTTTTACCTGAGATAAACTGTAACCCAGCGAGAATGCGTTCGATATTCTCAAGAAAGAGGGTACAGAAGAGTTGAGGACCACTGAACCCTCCAATTAAGAGGAAAGGAATGGACGGTTAAGATAGGACTTGTTAAGGTTACAGGCATTGTTTACCTCAGTTTGCAAGACGGGGGGGAGGGGGGTCAGAACAATTGTGCCTATACAATTGATACAGAGGATTTGTACATACAGGTGACTTTAATAAGCAGAGGATTTTCTTTTATATTCCATGAAAAATACACTAAATTAATATAGAATAATATCATGGTTGGCCAAAAAATTGTACGCACAGTGCATCCGTGCGTATGCCCAGTTACGCCCATCACACACACACACACACACACACACACACACACACACACACACGAGAATGCTTAGATGATAAACAGTAACTGAAATGTCTACTTATCAAATGTCAACACCACAGATTCACCCACCTCTTCAGAAGCCATCAATATGCTGAAGTTTGCCCTTGAATTTTGCAAAATAACATCCATATAATGATCCGTCAGGTTAAAGTAACCGGAAGCCATGAGAATTTTACTGTTTGGGAGAGCCTTTTTCCAGAAACCCTGAGTTACATCGTGATCATGAGTTATTCCAAATATGCCCATCTGTACCAATGGACAGACCCATGTGTCAACATCACCCTCAACAGAGTTTGATTCTTTGGATTTATTTTCACTGACTTTAATATCCCCACTCTCATTTTCACCAGAGTTTGCTGTGGAAGACTGACTGGTATTTATCTGCAGGTTTTCTGATTCTTTGTTGTCATGCTTTTCAGTGCGAAAAAAATCTTTGGATAACACTTCTTGCAGTCTTTTTCTTGCTTCTTGTTTGAAAGACCCCTGGTCTCCTGCAAAATTCAAATTTACAAATGCATAATGAATCTAGCTGCACATCATGCCATATGGGAAAAAACAAACAGCATTTTTCAAAAATCAAGAAGACCACATTAGTAACCTTGATGAGTTTGTACCTTATTAACGAAGCACTTCAAGGTAGTGCAAGTTTAAACATGTATCTTTTTTTTTCAAATTACTTTTGGATGTACAAAGTCTATAGAGACAACAAAAATTTTGTGTCCTCCTCACAAGGACCTCTGGTAAGTCCAATTAAAGATTAGAAAAGGTTTCAAATTCATCATTCAAATAAGGAGTGATAATATCCTCATGCTTATTTCCATAAAGTCAAATGCAGAACATAATGGAAATTAGTTTCTAAGACTGCATTCAGATTCAAACACCAGATGAGCTGGATTGATCCAACTCTGCAGGGATTCTTATTTATTGCATTCAGTGTAATCAGCTTAATATTGTCTGACACACCTTGATGGTACGGGGGTAACTAACTTTTGTGTGCATTCAGCTTAGTTACTCCCCCCCCCAAACTCTAGGCGGCATTTTAGACATTTAAATCAATTACAGTGATTGCATTAAGGGAGAATCAATCCAGTTAGTACGATTAGTTTATCTAAACACTCCCTTAAATTACTATCATGTTTAGCATTTTTCCTGAAATCTAAAAGAACTTGATAAACAAAACAAAAATAAATAAATAAATAAATAAATAAAATAAAATAAAATAATAAATTAATAAAAAAAAACAAGATGTGTCAACAAAAACCTGATCTCTCTCTCTTCCATGCTCACATGCACACACACTAGAATGACAATGCTACTTTTATAAAATTAATAGTGTCTCACCTAAATATGGATGTAATTCCAGGTCATTATTCAAACCCACTGTATCATCTGGTGCAAGTTGGAATGAAAATGACGACACAGCAGATACTAAGTTGTTGAAGAAATCTGCAACCTCAGGGGAGTTCTCAATGACAACATAACGATCTTGTCTGTTAGTGAAATAAGACTCACTGAGGTTTGCCCTAGAAAAGCAATAGAATAAAGGTCATATTTATATATAATAAGCTTTATTAAAATATTCAATTCTGGATTATTTCTGTAGTAATAAATGAGTATCTATATATGTGATTTATATCATGTACATAAAGTGAACAGCTAGTTTACTCTCCACCAGGTACAACACCTTTTCCATAGGAACTGAAAATGAAGACAGCGAGGGTTTTTCCAAGTGAAAACTTGGTTATACACTATTCAGAGACCCTTCAACTGACCTTACCAACTTTCTTCTATACAGATAATCTTTGAATAAGGACAATGGTGAGGCACAATGGGTCTCACATTGAGACAGTGTTGTAGTGAGCAGTTCACAGTTTCATAACATCAGCCATAAGTCCCAAGTGTTGGAATGAAAGCTTTCACTTTGGTACAAGTATGCCTTCATACAATTTATCTGCACTGAATGTGAACACAGAAATACCAGTATGCATTCCTACACATTGTGACACAATCATAAAAAATCTGACACGTAAAATGTATTACCTACCCACTTATTATCACAGTGTCATCAAATATATAACTCTTGATGTGCTGCACACCAATGGTCTCGTTTACCCTCTCTGGAATGAGCTTCTTCCAAATTCCCCTCAGTTCTGGAGTGTGAAAAAGTGACACTTGCACAGTGGTCTCTGTGTCTTTTAATAATGGAAGAAGTAAACTCCTAGAATTGCTTTCTCCTCTTGTACCTCTGGTATAGTCTAGAAGGACATGGACTTTCAATCCTTGTGAGCTCTTCTGTCTCGATACATTATGTAAGCAGTCAATCTGAAAATGGAGCAATGTTTATAAGGTTTGCTGCAAAAAGAAAATAAATATTTAGAGTTTCAGATTTGAAGCAATAGCTTTTAATGGATATTATATTTATCAAAGCAAAAACGGTATCTATTTTCATGTTACTTACTCTCAAAATTTCAGATAAATAAGTACCATGGCTTTGGGGAACTAACAGAAAAACTTTTCTATAAATAATTATCATGAGACATAATTTGTGTGACACATACTTCTCACTTTTACTGAAGAAAAACAAATGAACATAAAAAATTACAGCTCTGAAAAATTATAAAATTTATTGTTGTTTGTAAACAGGCAGTGCATGCTGAAAATTACAATAAAATGTAATAAATAAGATGAAAAATGGCTCTAAATATATTTTCGTTTGAAATAAAAATACTGGTCTTATTATAGAATTTAATTTTTGAAAAGATAGGGCTATAAAACTGTAGATAAAGAATAAGAAGACAGTATCATAATCATAGTATGAAATCACTTATATCAAGTGGATTTTCTGAATTCAAAATGTTTTCTATATACAATTTACTCACCAGTTCTTTTTCAAGAGCACCAGTACCTAGATACAGGGCTGATATCACTATCCTTTTCTCTGCCTTTCTCGCATTGGCCTAAAACATCAACACTTATAAAACAGCAAATACTAAATTTGAAATAATATTATATTATTATTAACATAAATAGTATTTAAACAACCAATTAAGTTAAAGGGGATGTGTGGGGATTTCTATTATCTGTCAAAAATCATATTCCAACCTTTTTATTTTGTAGGTATAGTGTTCACTTTATTACTCCAAAAGCTTATAAAATATTGAAATCAAACACTTTCAAATTTGCAGCACTTTTCATATAGTATATTCATACTGTAGAGGTATTTAAGGGTATTTAAGGCTAGGGAATCACCTAAACATTGTTGATTGCACCAGGAGAACTTTGTTTAATTATCACATTTTAATGGCTGGTTTACAATTCCTTTAAAGAGATTTCAAATAGTTGATGCAGATTTTTAACGGTTAAGACTTTGAACTCTTGCTTATATTTACTGTCTTCTACATCCCACATCATTACTCCCCCACATTATTACTTCCCCTCACCATTATTACCCCTTTTTTTATTCTCCAATGGTAAAAACGTGACATGCATGCACATAAAAACTGGGAGCCAAATGTGACACATTTTAATCATCATTTCGAAACCAATCAGTGGAGTCATAATTTAGAATAGCAATATGTGGGGGATTAACCACGCTGAGACATATTAATGCAGGTAATATCATGATTTTGCTGAGGGGAGTCACAGGAAAGATTAAACTATGTAGGGGAGTAATGATTGATGCAGAGATGATGCCTTACTTTCAATGCTTCAAAGTACTCGGTGGGCGTATCCAATATTCTAACATTTCTTCCACAAACCCCAAAACATGGAGACACTGTCTTGAACCAGTTTAATATCTGCAGTAAATCCTTTCTCATTTCATCCATACAAGTGTCTACTCTGAAAATAGCATCAAATTTTATGCAGGAACTATGAAGAATGCTTACATTTCGTGTGGGACCAATACATCTTTTGGGTGAACGGAATTAATTATTTTTTTACGTGAAAGCCATCGCATTCCCACAAAATACACATTTCGCTTAACATGCCACTGCGCAACACTACACCAGAGAAACGGGACTGCACTGGACTCGCTGTTAAGTAGGTTACTAACGGAGCTTTAAATTGTGCAACCCATGGTTTTTTTACCATTGGCAGATAGCACTACTTATTAGCGTAATCAGCGCAACTGAAACAAGACTCTAGCATGCTTTTAACTCGAAACAAAACACTACTATGATATTAGCTAGGAACTTGCAGGCATTACCCAACAATTGAAATGTTGACATCAGTGTAACGCCCACGTGCTGCCCTTTTTTGAACGAAAGAGAGGTCACATCAAATCGAGGCTATCGAGGGGGGTATTTACCTTAGCAACAGTGTTAGATACGTCTAACTTCGACGCCATATTTGTTTTCTCCGTCCAGAAGATATCTCCTTCTTTGGACAAAGTTTCTTTAATGCTGAGAAACTTGAAGGACAAAAGACAGGAAAGTGTTCAGATAGATAGCTAATGGGTAATCACTGTTGATAGCCTGATTTTAATATCAGCTGCACTAGTATTATTGCAGAAATTTGATTTGAACTTTGAAACATTTGCCTCTTTAGCACCTGCAAACAGTGAAAAATGGCTTCAGATCTTGAGCTTGGCGACTCTCGGGTCGAGTTCATCGCAGACTATGTATTGAAAACAATGAAACTGAAGCCAGATAAGTGGATGAAGATGTACAACCAAGAAGAGTACAAATTGATGATACTAGAGTATTTTGACAAGACAGACGTCCAGAATCTTATACTTCTTGTAAACTCTGCTGGAGTGATAACTCCACAGTACGAATGGCCGACAAATTTTAAGGGGAAGGCATGTTATTTTGTGAAGAAGGGAACTGGTGCTATCAACAAAGACAATCCAGTAAGGAATGCAACTGTCTACGGTGACCTGTCTCATTCTCCACTGGACCAACTGTCTGCGTTTGTTGATGAGGTAAACAAATGTCCTGATTTGTGTAAATGATGATGATTTGTGAATATTTCATATTTATTTGGTTTTTAATTTCTCACTATATGAAAAGAATGATTGACAAATACAGCAGGTACTTTTGAAATAAAGTGTCCAAAGGATTTTCTGTTACTTATTTACTATTTGCATTTGCCTATGTGCATGTACCCTAAATAGCATAAAAATTTCAAAATGTGCATATGCAGATGAAATCTTAACAGTAATGCCATGTGATTTTTAAGTAATTTCTTTCTTTTGATTAAGTCATTTTTATTATTATTATTATTTAAAGAAAACTTAAACCATTAATTTGACGGTTTGATCACACTCGGCTGTCACCTTGATTGGATAGTAAACGATTGTCGTAAAATCGCTAAATGATATTAAAACCCGGTGCATAAACTTGGAAACCACCTAGGACAACCTTGGACTGCCACATTAATCCAATACAATGCAAAAATAAACTATAACAAGTGGTTAAAGCCTTCAAACCGAATGCCGTAAAGTCCCCATATACCTCCATAGAGACAATAAAATAGAGTAAGCTTGTGAAACAAGAATAAACCATTTTGAACATAATAATCGAAATGAAATACTGCCGGGCATCGGAGCGGCCTAAAACTTGGCACGCTTACCGCAAATACTGCAGGCTACATCATCCCATTACGAAAAAGAAGCCATGCCATTGGACAATGCGACCTCTGCGGTTACGTCATTTCCTGAATTGGATTGTAGAGAGGACCAACTTAAACATCAGAGGTGGAATTTGGATATACGGTTTGATTGTGCGTATGCCATGCACGGAATTTACAAACGAGCGACGGGATGATGTAGCCTGCAGTATTTGCAGTAAGCGTGCCAAGTTTTAGGCCGCTCCGATGCCCGGCAGTATTTTATTTCGATTATTATGTTCAAAATGGTTTATTCTTGTTTCACAAGCTTACTCTATTTTATTGTCTCTATGGAGGTATATCATATGGGGACTTTACGGCATTCGGTTTGAGGGCTTTAACCACTTGTTATNCAAGTTTTAGGCCGCTCCGATGCCCGGCAGTATTTTATTTCGATTATTATGTTCAAAATGGTTTATTCTTGTTTCACAAGCTTACTCTATTTTATTGTCTCTATGGAGGTATATCATATGGGGACTTTACGGCATTCGGTTTGAGGGCTTTAACCACTTGTTATAGTTTATTTTTGCATTGTATTGGATTAATGTGGCAGTCCAAGGTTGTCCTAGGTGGTTTTCAAGTTTATGCACCCGGTTTTAATACCATTTAGCGATTTTACGACAATCGTTTACTATCCAATCAAGGTGACAGCCGAGCGTGGGTTTGATTATGTTGTTTACCTTTAAATTTGAAATTTATTTGTAGATCCTTGTGCCTTTACTGTCAAATGAACAAAACCATGACCAGTGGCCTCAGGTTGTGTCTGCTGATGTAAAGAGGCATGTCCACAATCTTAAAAGCAACGTCTATGTGGTAGCAGGACAGGTGAAGGGGAAAACTCTACTGCCTCTACCTGTAGGCTCTACCAGAGTGGAAGAAGCTGCTCAGGAAGAAGCAAAGTAAGACACTGCATGGTCATTCATGAAGTGAAAAATTCATCTGGCTCAGCCCTTGTTAAAATGATCTGGAAATCAATGAGTGTGTTTTTGTGTTAGTGAACAAATAAGCAATTTTTGTTTAAATAATTATTTTCATTTGCCCCTTGTTCATGGCTAATATGGCTCATCAGATAATTTTGTCAAACTAAGTCAACAATTATTCACCTTAAATATCACTTTGTATATTGTTACCTACTCTTTAGATAACATCTATTAAACCATGCTCATGCCATTTTTCAGAGGTGATACATATGACAGAAATCTAGTACATGCCATTGAATCTGTTATCATCGAGTGGACACATCAGATCCGTGATGTACTGAAGAAGGATTCTGCTCAGCCACTCCTTGAGGGTTTGAATCCAACACCTAGTGTGGAAATTGAATTCTGGAAGGCAAAGGTGGCTAATCTTGAATGCATCTTTGATCAGGTAAGTGGCACATGTGATGTGTTTGTTAAATATTCATTTTTATTTATTGCTTTTTGTGAATTTGATAAATTACTTATTGTTTTATTTCTGATGATGCATTTTATTATACAAAGTGTGAACCTTATTACCATGTTCACCTGAGTATTGAAAGTTATGAATATATTTTGTGCAGTTAAGTTAATATATATTTCCCTTAATCATGTGAGTTATTGTCATAGAAATCAGTGACAGTTGTGTTTGATTGATTTAGCTCCGGGATCCCAAAGTGCGCAAAATGGCTGAACTTTTAGAAAAGACAAACAGCAGCTATTTCCCATCTTTCAAGAATCTGTTCAGAGATGTGGTTGCAGGTATGTGTTACATGAATTTCTATATTTTAATTCAGATCTAAAAGAAGCAGCCTATAACTTCTTTTTATATATATGTACTGTGGGGCCTAACTTAAAAACCAATTTCAATTATATGAATAAATTTTCTGAAAAAAAAATTTATATGTACTGTGCATTTTCAGCCCTAACTGAGGCCCAAGACATCAACATGTATTTGAAGCCCCTGAGGAACCATGTAGATGACATTGAAGGTGCAGATTTCTGTGATGTAAAGCCACTGCTGCCACCCCTGATGCATGTCATCTGTCTGATCTGGTCAAACTCACAGTTCTATAATACCCCAGCCAGAATCATTGTGGTCTTACAAGAAGTTTGCAACACTCTGATCAATTCCGTAAGCATTATCATCTTAACCTTTATTGTTTTGTTGCAATAAATATGTTTCATAATGGTACTATTAACATGAGGTTAAATACATAAACAATTTAGAACACATGTAGAAGCACGGAACTTAACTTGGTGAAGTCTTATAATAACTTTTATTCTATTTTCCTACTAAAATATCTTACAGCAGTTAATATATTCAATATTATAGTAATTGGATTTGAATTTGTAAATAAATGGATTTATAAATGCACCCAAAGCTTGCACATCCCACCAAGCAGTATTGATCTATTTTGTTCTAGGCCCGCAACTACCTTGATCCCACAGAGATATTCAAGGGTGAGGTAGAGGAGACCATTGAGAAAGTCCGTGAAACAGTAGAAATCCTCAAGTACTTCCAAGTCACATATGAAGAACACAAGGCAAAGTTGAAAGATTACTTCAAGAATGGAGACCCCAAAGAGTGGGAGTTTGCACCTCAGCTTGTCTTCTCACGCTATGATACCTTTGTGCAGAGAGTGGAAACTGTTAGGGTAAGTGTTTTTAATGTAACTGTTACAGAAGTTGTTGTTTTTAGACCTAAATTTATGGGGATATACCAAGGAAAGAATTCAAGTTTTGGATTTGTATTTCATTTTGAGTTATCTGGCAAGGGACAGAATTATTCGTTACTTTAATAATCCTTTTGATTGTATTTTTTTTTTCATAAATTTTCATAAAGTTAGGATAGGTTTGGATTTGTTGTAGTTTTCTTCTTTTTTATTACCTTCATTACTTAGTAGGAAATACTTCAATTTATGCTTTTGTTTCTACAGGACTTGTTTGAAACTGCACTGGAGTTCATGAAGCTAGAGAAAATTGAACTTGGGGGCATCAAGGGCAGAAGTCTTAGTGCACAAGTCGTCCAGATCTTTGATGAATTCAATGAATTATACAAGATGTTCAGTGAAAGGGCATATGATGCCCTGGATCCCGTGGATACGGTAATTTGGAAATTACTATTTCTTAGTGGCTATTCTGGGATTATACTAATAAACCTGGAAAGAATCTATTCAAAAGTTACAATCTAATTATCAACTGTTTGTAGTTCCTTCAACTCGTAACTAATTTTTATCTGAAAGTTTTTTTGGCCATAAATTAAGTGGATTAAGATAAATAACACTCTGAGAGGATCCTGCAGTTAAGTAGCCAAGTATTTGCTGTTTTTTAGGAATTTACTGAAGATTACAAGAATTTCCAAGCAAAGATAGAGGACCTTGATCGTAGATTGGGTGCCATTATTTGCCAGGCCTTTGACGATTGCTCAGGATTGGAATCTGCTTTGAAGGTAATGATTTTTCAAACTTTGCGAATGTTCCATTTTTTAAGATGACTTATTGCAAAATTATGTTGTACCAATTTCAAAATTTTGGCAAATACATTTTAATATTATTGTATAACATGTCCCTTTGAGTTGGATATTTGCTACCAGACAAAAACCAATTTGATGCTAAAATGTGTTACCAGGTAGAAACCCATTTTGATATTATGATGTTTTTAATTTCAGCTGGTTGACATATTTGGATCACTTTTGGAAAGGCCAATCATCAAAGAGATCTTTGATCCAAGCTATCCAAAGCTGATTGTGATGATGGATGAAGATCTGGACACGGCCAAATCCATCTATGACCTTCAGATGCAGGTTGTCCAGCAGACAGGAAAGGCTATCTCACATAAGAATATGCCAAAGGTCACTGGTGGGCTGAAATGGGCAACTGAGCTCCGAGAGCGTATCAGTGCTCCCATGGAGAACTTCTCACATATTGAACACCCGTAAGTTTAAGTATTGGAATCTTTGTTATAAAAGTATATTTTAGGATAAAGTTCCTCTTTTTCAGAGTTCATGGCAAAGCCAAGCAGTGTTGAAGAAATGAACTGTCACTGGGCTTGTATAAATAATGTATAATCTGAAACCAAAATAAATATTTAAAGATACATGTAAACCTGGATCTTTCTAAAATATTTTTTATTTTTTCAGATGTATGGAAGGCGAGGCTGCAAAGAAGATGAAAACAAAATATGAACAGATGTTGGCTCTGCTTGAGAAGTATGTACAAAATTTAGATTCAGATAATGCTCATGGATTATTTGCATCTTTTCTTTAATTATAGTTTCTCCAAATGTTTGGTTTTCAGGGTTGCCATTATTAAAGCAGAAATATGTTGAGTTCTCGATGACAAAATAATGATTTGATTAAAATAGGAAAACAAAGGAAAGTAATTAATCAAAATACTTGTAAAATATGCTAAATTATCAAATCTGTAGATTCTCAAATTGTTCTGTCTTGTGTTAATTGATGCTGTTTGTTTTTCAGATTTGAGAAGCAAATGTATGATGAATGGACTGCTGGTGTTAATGAAGCTTGTTCCTTCAACCTGGCACAACCCTTGCTTACAAGGAATGAAGAAACTAAACTGATTGCTGTTAATTTTGATCCACAGGTAAGTTTTACATGGAAATTTTATCCAAAATAAAAAGAAAACATTTTTAAATTTCAAATACAAAATAGTTTTCATCCACACTAGCTAATATTAAAAGTTGTTAATTTGAAATCATTTTTAAAGTTGCACGTATGCAATTTTCACATAGTGTTACCATATAACTCTATCACCATTCTTTCAGCTTGTGGCAGTGCTTCGAGAAGTGAAGTACCTTGAAATTAAAGGCCAAGAGGATATACCAGAAGCTGCATCTGGGCTTTATCAAAGAAATGAAACATATCGCCAGTTCAATGGCAATTTGGACTTGACTGTGCAGTGGTATAATAAAGTTAGAGAGACAATCCTTGAAGTGGAGTACCCACTTATTGAAGGGCAGCTGGCAGATATAGACAAGCAGCTAGAAAAGGCAGAGAAAGATCTGAATTGGGAAGAAAAAGGTGAGAAGGCTTTTGAAAGGTTTTTGACAATTTTTTTTTTTTTTTTGATTGATGAACTTAGAAGTTGCTATAAATATGTTTATTCAAGGGTGTGAGAAGTACTTCACTACATATGAACAATAAATAAGATGGTGGAAATACAGGTCTGTAAATGAAAGTCTAAATGCTGCTTTTTTATTATTTTAGGTGCATGGGATTATATTGTGGAGACAAGAGACTTGGTGCAGGATTTGGAACAGAGGGTTCAGAAGGCAAAGAACAATGTGGAAGAGATTCAAAAACTTATGGCTACTTGGAGCAACACTCCTCTGTTTGAGAGGTTAGAGGGCAAACATGAATCTTTGCTCAACCTCAATGATAAAGAAGACAGGCTGAAGAAGAGGTATAATGAAATCAAGACCACTGGAGAAAAGATCCATGGTTTAGTGCAGGTAAACTTTTGATTTATGATTGACAAAAAGTATGTCATGATAAGATTTGGAATTTTATGTATGCATTTTTAGTACTGAGTTTGAGTTTATTGTATATTTCATATTTATGTTTACAGTATAAGGTAAGATATGTTGCTGTGAAATTTTAATTTTTTTTTTTTTTTTTGCATATCTTGACAAAATGAAATATCTTTATGATAACTATGAATACTGTTCATCTTTCAGCAAAACTTGGAGTTTTTCAAGGCAGATGCAGAGTCTGACATATGGAAAGCATATGTAGATTATGTGGATGAAATGGCTGTCGATGGGTTTTTCAACACCATCCACTGCAGCTTGAACTTTTTCTTGGATTGCACAGATCCCAAGAAGCCATCTAGTCCTCTGTTTGAGGCTCTGATGGAGCTGCAGGTGCCTGATATGGTGTTTAATCCTTCTCTGGATTACGGTGTGGCTGATGGTTTCTATGACTTGGTGGATGGACTAGTGGGAGATATTTACAAGCAGGCTTCTCTTATTGGGAGGTTAGCTGCCCACAGTGGACAGGAGCACTACCAGGTCAGTCCCACTGGCCATATTGGATTAAAGGGCTGGACAAAAAAAAATTTTGTTTTGCTTACAATTTCAGTACAGTTCTTTAGACTTCTTTTACAATTAGTATATCTCTGTAAAATTTTTATTGGATAATTTTTCATTTTGCCTTTTTTTTCAGCCTGATTTAGAAGAAATGGATGAGCTGTCTGAGATGAGACAAGAGTTGATGGACAGAGTACAGACTGTTATGAACAAGGCCTGTGAATACAGAAACAGCTTTGATAACTATGCCTATCTGTGGGTAGATGACCGCAATGAATTTATGAGGCAGTTCTTGCTGTATGGTCATGTACTGACTGCAGAAGAGATTGAAGCCCATGCTGATGATGGTGTGCCTGAAAATCCACCAACGTTAGATCAGTTCAAAGAACAGGTATGTCACATTTCAAGTCCAATACAGTCTTGATATCTTTCCTTAAAATACATTTTGGTGTAAAATTTCAAATGTCTAAGATCCCTTTTCAGGTGTTGGCAAGTGTACAGTGGACAAAACTTAATATTTTCACTTCTCCTATGAATCAATATCATTCTAGGTGGACACCTATGAAAAGATCTATGAGGAAGTGGAACAGTTTGATGGTACAGTTATGGTAGACCACTGGTTCCGTGTCAACTCTAAACCCTTTCGCCAGTCCTTGCTCAACATCATTAAGAGGTGGAGCTTCATGTTCAAGCAGCATCTCATTGATCATGTCACCAATAGGTAAGTTTTGTCCATATGTATATATATTGTAAATGGTGAGTTTGAAATTTCTGACTTTTCTAATTTGCAAAAAAAAAAAAAAAAAAAAAAAAAAACTTTTGCACTTTTTTTTTTCAAAATAATAATCACATTTGCCTTAAGTGTATATCCAAATTCCAGAGCAGCAAACTTTTAAAAGAAAATGCCTTTTTCCCTAAAATGTTTTAAAATGTGTAACCAAAACTACCTAAAAAGATGGCACAGATGTTAATGTCACTACTGATATCCCATGATGAACACTTAAAAGTCATTTGTATGCATTATTCCTTCTTTATAGCCTCAATGAGCTGGCCGAGTTCATCAAGGTGGCTGACAGTGGTCTAACCAAACCAGTAGAGGAGGGTGACTATGATGGTCTGGTAGAGTGTATGGGTCATCTGTTGGCTGTGAAGGACAGGCAGGCATCCACAGATGAGATGTTTGAGCCACTGAAGCAAACCATAGAACTGCTGAAGACATATGGACAGGAGCTTCCAGAGGAGGTCCATGTACAGCTTCAGGTAAAAAAAAGTTTGTAGCATTCATGGTTTACCATAGACTGTTTTTGTTGGTGGTAATGGAACTAAATGCTTCATTCATAGTTTTTTTTTATTTCACTCATCCAAAGGAACATAACAGCAATAAATATTTTTGCAACAGGAACTCCCAGAACAATGGAACAACACAAAGAAGATTGCCATCACTGTCAAACAACAAGTTGCACCATTGCAGTCCAATGAAGTTGCCAACATTAGGAAGAAGTGTGCATCATTTGATGTACAACAACACACATTCAGAGAGAACTTCAGGCAGATATCAGTGTACAGATACAGCTGTGAAGACCCTTACACTGTGTTGGATGAGGTATGAGTATCATACCAACAGACTGATTGATTTTAAGCTAAATGTGTTTTGCTGCCTAGCTTTTATACATGTGCGACCCAGTTGATAATTTATACACTGGATATTTTCTTACAAAATTAACGACTGAATTTTATAGCCATAATTCTATTTCCAACAAAAAATTGTATCACTTTGGGGGAGAAAACTTTTTTGTCTTTATAACATTGATATTTTCATATCTTCAGTTCAACCAACAAATCACAGACATGGAGAAGGAGATGGCTGCACTCCTGGAGTCTGCAGGCCTGTTTGAAGTCAATGTACCAGATTACAAACAGCTCAAACAATGCAGAAAAGAAATCTGCATGCTCAAACAGCTATGGGACTATGTATATATTGTGCGCACAAGTTTTGATGACTGGAAAACTACTCCCTGGGTGGAAATAAATGTGGAACAGATGGACATGGACTGTAAAAGATTTGCCAAAGATATCAGGGGATTAGACAAAGAGATGAGGGCATGGGACACATACTCTGGCGTAGAGGGCACTGTGAAGAACATGTTGACATCATTGCGTGCAGTCAGTGAGTTGCAGAACCCAGCTATCAGAGAGAGACATTGGCAGCAACTTATGCAGGCAACAGGCGTAAGTATTTACAATAGTTGGGATTTTCCCTCTTAGGTTTATTTTAGTAGAATATCTGTTTAATCAAAAATAGGGTAACTTTAAAGACCCAAATCATTAGAACAATGTTGATGATTTATAAAATACTTACAAATGCTAATTCATCTGTTATAATTTGATAACATACCAAGAACTGTCTCTGATTTTTAGGTGAAATTTGTCATGGATGAAGACACCACCCTGTCTGATCTGCTGTCCCTCAACCTACACAACTTTGAGGATGAGGTTCGTAACATTGTGGACAAGGCTGTGAAGGAAATGTCCATGGAGAAAGTGCTGAAGGAGTTGGATGTCACATGGGCAACCATGGAGTTTGAACACCAGAAACACAACAGAACTGGCATTACCCTACTTGTGACCACAGAAGAATTGATTGAAACACTAGAAGATAACCAGGTAAAAACCCTTTTGTTTTGAATTTGATCTAGTTTGTCTGAGTAGACCTTTTTAAAATAATTTGTATGAAATGTTGAATTTTTTACCAGTAGCTTGCATGTTCACTTGTTATTTCTTTTGTAAATAAATTTTAAACATACATAAATTTTTGTTTTTCTGTCTAAAAAACAGGTACAACTGCAGAACATGCTCACATCCAAATATATTGCCCATTTCTTGGAAGAAGTGTCAGGCTGGCAAAAGAAACTGTCCACTGCTGACCAGGTGATAACCATCTGGATGGAGGTCCAGAGGACATGGTCACATCTGGAGAGTATTTTCATTGGTTCTGAAGATATCAGGAACCAACTGCCAGAGGATTCTAAGAGATTTGATGGCATTGATACGGACTTCAAGGTACATGCTTGGACTTTCTTCTGACATGATTGATTATGTATATAAAACCTCAATAGAAACTTTATTATTTAAAGTGATTAATTTTTTACAAATTGTGTTTTTAATATAACATGAAAAAAATTTACTGAAGTATACAGAAGCTTTCATTTTCATCTTCAGTAATCAGTTACTAATGTCAAAGTACGCCAACATATTTGGTAACTGTGAGATTTGTTATCAACTTTCTAGGAAGTGGTAAAAGAGGTTGAAGGTACTCTGAATTGTGTTGAGGCCACAAACAAACCAGGACTGTATGACAAACTGGAAGTTATCCAGGGGCAGCTGATTCTCTGTGAGAAGGCACTGGCTGAATATTTGGAGACCAAACGTCTTGCCTTCCCAAGGTTTTACTTCGTGTCTTCTGCTGACTTGCTAGACATTTTGTCCAATGGCAATCAACCAGAGTTGGTGAGTCAATTTTTAATGAATAGTACAGTGTCCAAACTCTATTTTTTTTATCAACATTCTTAAAGATGTTTTTGAATCACTTGTGTTGAAACACTGAAGCAAGTTTACTGAAAAATGTTTTAAAAAAATATTTGGGTAACTATAACTTAATTTTTTTCTTGAATCATTAAATTGATAATTGCATACACATAACTATAAAGTCAGTAAGTAGCAAAGTATTTTCTTCATATATTTAGCATATGTAACCAAGTCTACTCTTTATTTCAGGTTGCGCGTCATTTGACCAAGCTATTTGACAGCATGGCAGCACTAAAATTCCAACAGGACTCTGATGGTAACAACCTGAAGACTGGTGTAGGCATGTTCAGTAAAGACGGAGAATATGTGGACTTTGACCATGAGTGTGACTGCACTGGCCAGGTGGAGGTGTGGCTGAACAGGCTACTTGATGTCCAGAGAACAACAGTGAGACATGAGATGACGGAGGCAGTGACTGCATATGAGGAGAAGGCACGTGAACAGTGGCTGTTTGACTTCCCTGCTCAGGTGGCCCTGTGTGGCACACAGATCTGGTGGACAACTGAAGTGAACATTGCATTTGCCAGACTTGAGGAAGGCTATGAGAATGCTCTTAAAGATTACAGCAAGAAACAGGTTAGTTGGTTTGACAGCATAGCTGCTTACAAACCTTCCGTAGAACAGTTGATTTTAAAGGTAACAACATTTTATGTGTTTTTGTGATTAGTTTCATTATTGGTGACTCCATATATAAATTGTAATCTGGTGTAGAACATTCTTCAATTAATACAATCCATGTGCATTCCGCTATGAACGATTTGGACTTTTGTATTTCAGATCCAACAGCTGAACACCCTGATTACCATGTTGATTGGCTCCTTGACCAAGCAGGAACGTCAGAAGGTCATGACCATCTGTACTATTGATGTGCATGCCCGTGATGTCATCACACAGATGATCACACAGAAAATTGAGAGTGGACAGGCCTTCAAGTGGTTGTCTCAGCTACGTCATCGCTGGGATGAAGGACATAAAGACTGCTTTGCTAACATTTGTGATGCTCAGTTCAGATACTCCCATGAGTATCTCGGAAACACACCACGTTTAGTGATTACACCCTTGACTGACAGGTGAATGTTCAAACATATATGATGCACATGTAGCTTTTTCTCTGTTAAAGCAGTGTGTGATATCATGCAGGGAACTTATCTTAAACTATTTATGTAAATACGTCAAAAAGAACTAAAAAATGTGCAACAAATTACATTTAAAACAATGGAACATTTTGACACAGATGATTGAATTCTTTGGCACAAACATTTTACAGTAGTTTTGTGTTAATATATCACCGCTGTAGTATAATCTTAGCTTTCTAAATATCATTTCAGATGTTACATCACCCTGACTCAGTCCCTTCACTTGGTGATGAGTGGAGCCCCTGCTGGGCCTGCAGGAACTGGGAAGACAGAGACAACCAAGGATTTGGGCAGAGCTCTGGGAATCATGGTCTATGTGTTCAACTGCTCAGAACAGATGGACTACAAGGTGGGGTATATATAGAGCTGCAGACATTGTTTTTATAGCAAAGGGTTATTGAAGCGCCTTAGATTATTGTTTCATCTTCATTGAGTAAGTTTAAGTTGGTAAGTAAAATGGGGAAAAATTGGGGAACATTCATAAAAATTTTAATTCTTATTTGTATTGCACATAATTATAGAATTATTCAGAATGAAAAATCATTAAAACTCACACTTACCTCCCTATCATTTCAGTCCTGTGGTAACATCTACAAGGGTTTGGCCCAATCTGGTGCATGGGGTTGCTTTGACGAGTTCAACCGCATCTCAGTAGAAGTGCTGTCTGTGGTGGCTGTCCAGGTGAAGAGTATCCAGGATGCCATTAGGGACAAGAAGACCGTCTTTGAGTTCCAGGGAGAAACCATCAGTCTCATTGCCACTGTAGGCATTTTCATCACCATGAACCCAGGTTATGCTGGGCGCACTGAGCTGCCAGAGAATCTCAAGGCTCTTTTCAGGTATTTCCCTAGAACACAGCTGTGAATTGTCTTGTAATATTTTGATGAAAATCAAAATATAAGAATTATCTCAAAGTAATTTGGTACAAGTGCTATTTATTGTGTTTATTATTTTCATTTTTTATGTTTGTGTTTCAGACCCTGTGCTATGGTGGTTCCTGACTTTGAGCTGATTTGTGAAATTATGTTGGTGGCAGAGGGTTTCCTTGAAGCTCGTTTGCTAGCCAGAAAGTTCATCACCCTTTACACTCTGTGTAAAGAACTGCTTTCCAAACAGGTACATACCAGTCTATTTTTCTGGCATATTATTATGTAATTATTTCACTGGTATAATTCAAGTGGATTAGTTTAGCTTATTTTGATGTATGAGGAATTGTATTATATGATGTTTTTACGACAGGAAGTCATACAGTGCAAGATAGGATGTCATGTTGTATTTGTTCTAACATCGTCATTAAGTTTTTGTTTTCACAACATATGATAAGATATAATAAGATATTCTTTGTTTTGCTACATAGGACCATTATGATTGGGGTCTGCGTGCTATCAAATCTGTACTGGTGGTGGCTGGTGCACTGAAGAGAGGTGATCCTAACAGACCTGAAGATCAGGCAAGTTATAATATATATTTGAATTAAAAGTTATCTGTTTTTACACGTAAGACATATTTTATAGTTATGGCGATAAGTGGTTATAGTGAATGTAACAACATCAGTAAGTTATCAGCAGTAAAAAGTCTGATTCTTATTAGCAGAAGTTATTAAATGGACATCTTGTCTGTAGATGTAAATTGGGACTCCTTTATGACTGTCATCTATAAATAAAAAAAGCATCTGTCCACTGCATTTATTATAACTTAAAATGTTTTATATCTCTATTAAACAGGTGTTGATGAGAGCTTTGAGAGATTTCAATGTGCCAAAGATTGTGACTGATGACCTTCCTATCTTCATGGGTCTGATTGGAGACTTGTTCCCAGCCTTGGATGTACCCAGGAAGAGGGATCCTGAATTTGAGAAAGAAATCAAACAGGCAACTTTGGACCTCAAACTGCAGCCTGAAGATGGTTTCATTCTCAAGGTAAAATTTGGATTACTTAGATTACTTCCGTCTCACATCCAGTAATATACTGCTGTATTATATAGTTTGTAAATTATTGATTCATTACAAATATTGTTGGTCTGTCAAATACAGATCAGGTATTACAATTGTAATTTTTGTACATTCTATGAAAAACTGTTTAGAATGTGATTAAATGTTTTTTTAAATATATTTATTTATAATAGGTTGTCCAGTTGCAAGAGTTGTTTGATGTACGTCACTCTGTGTTCATTGTGGGGAATGCTGGTACAGGCAAGAGTCAAGTGTGGAAGACACTGAACAGAACATTCAGGAACAAGGGCAAGAAGCCGATTGCACAGGATCTCAACCCTAAGGCAGTCACCAATGATGAGTTGTTTGGGATCATCAACCCTGCTACCAGAGAGTGGAAGGATGGTAAGCCGTGCACAAGAATGTTTCCTTTTGTAAACTTGAATGGATGGTTTATAGACTGGGGCTTGCACTATTTATTCATTGTATATATTTCAGTGTCATAATGAAGGGCAACACCAGGATCTTCAAAATCAAACTGAACACTTTTAACAGGTATTAGGTGTTGGGATACTAAGGATATCCACAATAAAATGCATTTTAAAGAACTAATGGAACTCGTCCCCCATAAACAGAAATGTGATAATAAGTCGGTACTCTTCCTCCCTCATATAATAATATTTTCACCATATCATTGTTTATTATTGTGAATGATTTGTAATTTTAGGCTTGTTCTCTGTGATCATGCGTGACTTGGCCAATTTGACTGGAGATGGAAACAAGTGGATTGTCCTGGATGGTGACATTGATCCCATGTGGATTGAGTCACTGAACACTGTCATGGATGACAACAAGGTACTTGTTATGAGCATCAATGGTCAAAGCTGTTACAGAGAGTTTTCTCAAATCACTCATTCTGTGTTTGCAGTGTTCAAAAAGTTAAATTGTTGTAATTTTTTTCACTGATGTTACATCTGTTGTTCACATTTCATTAAAACCAAACATCACTATTTGCTTTCAATCATACCGATAAATGTCATGAAGAAACTTTTTGAGATTTGCATATTCCATTACATATTTTGGTCAAATTTTTATTTGAATGGGCTTAAATACAAGGCAGAAGAAAAAAGTACATTTTTCTAAAAATGTTGTTGTTGTTGATATGCTGCAGGTGTTGACACTGGCCAGTAATGAGCGTATTGCTCTGACCCCAATGATGAGGCTTCTGTTTGAAATCAGTCACTTGAAAACAGCCACCCCTGCCACGGTATCTAGAGCTGGTATCCTGTTCATCAATCCTGCTGACTTGGGATGGAATCCGTAAGAAATACAATTTTTTAAAAAATATGCATATGCTAGACAATATTCTCAACAGTCTTGTTCTGTTTGCATTTCTTAGATTATTTTTTAATGTTTTGTACCTCGTGAAATTATCATATCGTATTATCATATGAAATAAGCATGCCAGAACATAATTTTTTCAAGTCACATCATTTGATCTGTTATTACTAGTGCACTTGGAATTTGCATTTATCAGGTTTGTGAGCAGTTGGATTGAGACAAGAGAGGTGCAGTCTGAGAAAGCCAATTTGATGATCTTATTTGACAAGTACATCCCAACCTGCCTGGAGGCCACACGGTCTCGCTTCAAGAAGATCACCCCCATTGCTGAGATTAGTCACATTCAGATGTTGTGCTACCTACTTGAAGTGATGCTGACACCAGAGAACACCCCACCTGACTGCCCCAAAGAGTTGTATGAACTCTATTTTGTCTTCTGCTGTATCTGGGCCTTTGGAAGCTGCATGTTCCAAGATCAGGTATGGTTTGAGACAATGAAGACTGGAGACTGTGACTTGTTAGAGTAATTGTTAACATTGCCAGGGTGTTTGGATTAACATTTTTTTTCTAAAGTTTATTTGTTACTTGGGATAAACAGATTTTTTTCATGACTTTGATTTAGTTTTTTTTCACATCCATGGTTTCCCATGATGTTGTACCAGAGACTTTCAAGCATATGGATCTCATAAAGCTTTTTGTTTACACATTCAAACTCTTTTGCAGCTCGTAGATCATCGTGTAGAGTTTACCAAATGGTGGGTCACAGAGTTCAAAACCATCAAGTTCCCCTCCCAGGGAACACTGTTTGATTACTACATTGACCCCGAGACCAAAAAGTTTGAACCATGGACCAAGAAAGTGCCCCCATTTGAATTTGATCCAGAGATGCCTATGCAGGTAAAGCTTTTTGAATGTTTTGTAGGTTTTCTACACAGGGTTGATACTGAGTAACAAATGCATGATGGTCTGTGTCAAAATCGTGTGCATCATTAATAGAGGGGGACTTTTTAATTTTAATAACATTTCCATGAAGTTTTTTTTTCAGGAAGTGGTTTTATAATTGTCTTAAATGGTACAGTCTATTTCTATTTAATCAAGTATAAAATAAAAAATGAAATCATGTTACTCACTTCAAAACAAACACTTACATTTTGTCTGAACTTTCTCTTTCCCAGGCCACACTGGTGCACACAGCTGAGACAACGCGTATCCGCTTCTTCATGGACATGCTGATTGAGCAAGGCCGCCCAATCATGTTGGTGGGTACTGCAGGTACAGGAAAGACCGTACTGATGAATGACAAACTGAACTCTCTGGACACAGACAACTGGGTAGTAGCTAATGTGCCCTTCAACTTCTACACCACCTCAGAGATGTTGCAGATTGTGCTTGAGAAGCCATTGGAGAAGAAAGCAGGCAGGAATTATGGTCCACCAGGCAGCAAGAGGCTGGTGTACTTTATTGATGACATGAACATGCCAGAGGTAATCTTTACAGTACATTTGAATTTCTTTTGTTTGCATTTTGGGATACACAAGAATTATATCCTATAATGTTCATGAACTTTAGATAACTTGCATCAATACAAAATCATATAATGTAGAAAGACAGGATATTTATAGTCATTGTAATATAACTTAATTCTGGTAACATGTTTATTCTTTTGATTAAATGCCAATTTTAAGTGAAGGCCCATTAGAAAATAATGAAAACATTTTCTTACCTTCAATTACTCATTTTCCATTCATTTATTTTTTTCTGAAATCAAGTATTGATTTCTCTGCTGAAGTTTCCAAAACATTTTGCTTCTTGTCTTTCAGGTGGATCAGTACTTCACTGTGCAACCCCACACACTGATCCGACAGCACTTGGACTACAAGCATTGGTATGACCGTGCCAAATTGACACTGAAAGACATCCATAACACTCAATATGTGTCCTGCATGAATCCAACATCTGGTAGCTTTACCATCAACCCACGTCTGCAGGTAAATATGTGTCAAAGGAAAAAATGATCATCATACTTGATATTAATTTTTTTGATCTTTGTCTTGTGATGTTTTTTGATGATTTACAAACAAGACAATACACATCAAGTGTCTGACTTTCATAAACATTTTTTTAAAATTGGAACATGTCCATTATATTGTAAACATGCGTTATATATAAATTATTTTTTCCTCCCATGAAAAAATGTTTCTTAAACTTGTTAATTTTTCATTTTAGCGTCATTTCTGTGTGTTTGCCATGAGCAACCCCAGCAGTGAAGCCTTGGGCACTATCTACACCAGTATTTTGTCTGGGCATCTGAGTTTGAATGGCTTCCCAGCAGTGATACAGAAGTACGCACAGACCTTGGTCAACGGAGCTCTTGCCATGCATGCGAAAGTGGCAACCAGTTTTTTGCCCACAGCCATCAAATTCCACTATGTGTTCAATTTGAGAGATATGTCAAACATTTTCCAGGTGAGCATTTTGTGCATTTCAGATGTACAACAGTATTTATATTAATTCTAATTTTACACTTACCTTATAAGTAAACTATTTTAATTTAGATATTGACTGTATTGAAATTATTTTGTGTGAGGTTTCTGTACTAATTTTAAGCATAAAAATTGATAATCACTTGATAAGTATATTTTCACCATCCCTGATATGTTAAAATAATTCAGAACTTAAAGATCATTAATATAACAATGACACATGTTTCGCATAGTTATACTGTTGAAAAAGACATTTGGGTCATCTGTTTATTCTGTTTCCAGGGATTGTTGTTTTCTCAGCCAGACTGTATCAAAACCACGCAAGATTTTGTCCGTTTGTGGATTCATGAGGCCCAGCGTGTGTATGGAGACAAGATGATTGATGAGGCAGATATGCAGAATTTTGAAAAGATCCATAAAGAAATTGTTAAAAAGTCCTTTGAGGTAGGCAGGTTCATTGACTTATAAATCTAGATCCACATATCCATGATTAATGAGCTGTCTTTTTCAAGTTTTTTATTTATTTATTTATTTATTTATTTATTTATTTATTTATTTATTTTTTGTAGCTGATGATGCCAAGGATGTGCTTCATTATGAATAAATATAAATCATTCATATTAAAACAATTACAATATGGCATCCATTAAGTTATTTGGTTTTTATGTACAGACACTTAGCCATCACCTTATCTGGCATATTGCATCAAAATTGACAAAATGACCTATTCTGCACATCTTTATTTTTTTCTTTTTGTCTGTACATTTGACAGCTTTGCTGCCTTGTTAATTGTGTCCATAAATAAAGCATATTGTAACTGAAAATAATACCATTTAAAGTGAATGCTCCAACACTTTCCTGGTTTACAATTTTAGGATGTGGACGAGGCTGCAGTGTTTGTGAAACCATTGATCTACTGCCACTTTGCAGCTGGCATTGGTGAACCTAAATACATGATGGTAGAAGATTATAACATCCTGAACAAAACCCTGGTAGAAGCTCTAGACAGCTACAATGAGCTCAATGCTGCCATGAACTTGGTGTTGTTTGAGGATGCTATCTCTCACATCTGCCGCATTAACCGTATCTTGGAGTCCCCTCGTGGTAATGCTCTGTTAGTTGGTGTTGGTGGTAGTGGCAAACAGAGCTTGTCTCGTATAGCTGCCTTCATTAGCAGTCTTGAAGTGTTCCAAGTGACCCTGAGAAAGGGTTATGGCATTGCTGACCTGAAATTGGACTTGTCTGCCTTATACATGAAAGCTGGAGTGAAGAATATTGGCACTGTCTTCTTAATGACTGATGCACAGGTTGCTGATGAGAAATTCTTGGTGTTGATCAATGACTTGCTGGCCTCTGGTGAAATCCCAGGCCTGTTCCCTGATGATGAATTGGAAAATATCATCAATGCTATGAGACCTGAAGTGAAGGGACTTGGTCTTTTGGATTCCAGAGAGAATTGCTGGAAGTTCTTTATCGACAGAGTCAGGAGGCAATTAAAGGTAAGGATCTTGTTTGCATCATATATAAAGAAAATATTTTGTTGAGATAAATCGGTTGTCTTGAGCTCACTGAATAGAGGACTTTGGAGAAGATCAACTGCATGTAGTTTTTTTAATCATTTATGAAGAGGAGGGTATGTCATGCCCTTGTCATTAAGTGTCTATTTTAACTTCCATAATACTCTTACAGGTTGTGCTGTGCTTCTCCCCTGTGGGTGCCACTATTCGTGTCAGGGCACGCAAGTTCCCTGCAGTGGTGAACTGTACATGCATTGACTGGTTCCATGACTGGCCTGAAGAAGCCTTGGTCTCTGTGTCTGCCCGCTTTATGGAGGAAGTGGAGCTGCTTAGTGTGAGTAAAGTCATATTGCATTGTGAAGGATAAATTGTGAATAGAATGAAAATAAATAAAATAAACAGCTTTGGTCAGATTGATAATGAGGTCATCTTTAGTTATCATTTTCTCATGCTGACCAAAAATAACAAGTGTCATTTCTTATCACATAAAAAAAACTTTTTTGCATTTGTCATGATTGATGATAATATCATTTGTCATGATTAATGATTATATAATAATTACATGTGCTTCTTGTCTTTTGTTTAGCCTGAGATGAGGGAGTCTATTGCACAGTTCATGGCATATGTGCATAGATCTGTGAATGAAACCAGTGCTTTGTACCTGCAAAACGAGAGGCGCTACAACTATACCACTCCTAAGAGCTTCTTGGAACAAATTGCTCTGTATCGAAACTTGTTGAAAATTAAAAACAGTGAACTCCAGGGTAAAATCCAACGTCTGGAAAATGGTCTAGAAAAACTAAGGAGCACATCTGCACAGGTAAAAATTCCACTAAAATTAGTAAAAGTAATAATAATAATAATAACTAGACTGCAACTGGCTAAAGCCAGTGGCGGAGGATTCCCCTGCAAAATAGGCGTGGAAATGCTCTTACAAGGTCATGTGAAGGTCACNTTCAGGTAAATATGTGTCAAAGGAAAAAAAGATCATCATACTTGATATTAATTTTTTTGATCTTTGTCTTGTGATGTTTTTTGATGATTTACAAACAAGACAATACACATCAAGTGTCTGACTTTCATAAACATTTTTTAAATTGGAACATATCCATTATATTGTTAACATGCATTGTATATAAATCACTTTTTCCTTCCAAGAAAAAATGTTTCTTAAACTTGTTAATTTTTCATTTTAGCGTCATTTCTGTGTGTTTGCCATGAGCAACCCCAGCTCGGAAGCCTTGGGCACTATCTACACCAGTATTTTGTCTGGGCATCTGAGTTTGAATGGCTTCCCAGCAGTGATACAGAAGTACGCACAGACCTTGGTCAACGGAGCTCTTGCCATGCATGCAAAAGTGGCCAGCAGTTTCTTGCCCACAGCCATCAAATTCCACTATGTGTTCAATTTGAGAGATATGTCAAACATTTTCCAGGTGAGCATTTTGTGCATTTCAGATATACAACAGTATTTAGATTAATTCAAATTTTACACAGTTAATTAGAAGTAAACTATATTAATTTAGATATTGACTGTAGGGAAATTATTTTGTGTGAGGTTTCTGTACTAATTTAAAGCATAAAAATTTATTATCACTTGATAATTATACTTTCACCATCCCTGATATGTTAAAAAAATTCAGAACTTAAAGATCATTAATATAACAATGACACATGTTTCACATAGTTATACTGTTGAAAAAGACGTTTGGTTCATCTGTGTATTCTGTTTCCAGGGATTGCTGTTCTCTCAGCCAGACTGTATCAAAACCACGCAGGATTTTGTCCGTTTGTGGATTCATGAGTCCCAGCGTGTGTATGGAGACAAGATGATTGATGAGACAGATATGCAGAATTTTGAAAAGATCCATAAAGAAATTGTGAAAAAGTCCTTTGAGGTAGGCAGGTTCATTTACTTATAGATCCAGATCCACATATCCATGATTAATGAGCTGTTTTTTTCAGTTTTTTTTTTTTTTTTTTTTTTTTTTTTTCGTAACTGATGATACCAGTGATGTGCTTCATTATGAATAAATATAAATCATCCATATTAAAAAAATTACAATATGGCATTCATTAAGTTATTTGGTTTTTATGTACAGACACATAGCCATCACCTTATCTGTCATATTGCATCAAAATTGACAAAATGACCTATTCTGCGCATCTTTATTTTTTGCTTTTTGTCTGTACATTTGACAGCTTTGCTGCCTTGTTAACTGTGTCCATAAATAAAGCATATTTTAACTGAAAATAATATCATTTAAAGTGAATGCTGCAACACTTTCCTGGTTTACAATTTTAGGATGTGGACGAGGCTGCAGTGTTTGTGAAACCATTGATCTACTGCCACTTTGCAGCTGGCATTGGTGAACCTAAATACATGATGGTAGAAGATTATAACGTCCTGAACAAAACCCTGGTAGAAGCTCTAGACAGCTACAATGAGCTCAATGCTGCCATGAACTTGGTGTTGTTTGAGGATGCTATCTCTCACATCTGCCGCATTAACCGTATCTTGGAGTCCCCTCGTGGTAATGCTCTGTTAGTTGGTGTTGGTGGTAGTGGCAAACAGAGCTTGTCTCGTATAGCTGCCTTCATTAGCAGTCTTGAAGTGTTCCAAGTGACCCTGAGAAAGGGCTATGGCATTGCTGACTTGAAATTGGACTTGTCTGCCTTATACATGAAAGCTGGAGTGAAGAATATTGGCACAGTCTTCCTAATGACTGATGCACAGGTTGCTGATGAGAAATTCTTGGTGTTGATCAATGACTTGCTGGCCTCTGGTGAAATCCCAGGCCTGTTCCCTGATGATGAATTGGAAAACATCATCAATGCTATGAGACCTGAAGTGAAGGGACTTGGTCTTTTGGATTCCAGAGAGAATTGCTGGAAGTTCTTTATCGACAGAGTCAGGAGGCAATTAAAGGTAAGGATCTTGCTTGCATCATATATAATGGAAATATAAATCGGTTGTCTTGAGCTCACTGAATAGAGGACTTTGGAGAAGATTAACTGCATGTAGTTTTTTTAATCATTTATGAAGAGGAGGGTATGCCATGCCCTTGTCATTAAGTGTCTATTCTAACTTCCATAATATTCTTTCAGGTTGTGCTGTGCTTCTCCCCTGTGGGTGCCACTATTCGTGTCAGGGCACGCAAGTTCCCTGCAGTGGTGAACTGTACATGCATCGACTGGTTCCATGACTGGCCTGAAGAAGCCTTGGTTTCTGTGTCTGCCCGCTTTATGGAGGAAGTGGAGCTGCTTAGTGTGAGTAAAGTCATATTGCATTGTGAAGGATAAATTGTGAATAGAATGGAAATAAATAAAATAAACAGCTTTGGTCATATTGATAATGAGGTCATCTTTAGTTATCATTTTCTCATGCTGACCAAAAATAACAAGTGTCATTTCTTATCACATAAAAAAAAATTTTTTGAATTTGTCATGATTGATGATAATATCATTCGTCATGATTGATGATTATATAATAATTACATGTGCTTCTTGTCTTTTGTTTAGCCTGAGATGAGGGAGTCTATTGCACAGTTCATGGCATATGTGCATAGATCTGTGAATGAAACCAGTGCTTTGTACCTGCAAAATGAGAGGCGCTACAACTATACCACTCCTAAGAGCTTCTTGGAACAAATTGCTCTGTATCGAAACTTGTTGAAAATAAAAAACAGTGAACTCCAGGGTAAAATCCAACGTCTGGAAAATGGTCTAGAAAAACTAAGGAGCACATCTGCACAGGTAAAAATTCCACTAAAATTAGTAAAAGTAATGATCAAAGTTTTTAGATATATAAACTGCTGTTGAGACACAGTCTGTGCCATAAACTTTTATGCTCACTGGCCATTTGGACCACCACTTTCCTAAAATCTGCTGATCCAATCAGGATTCACTGGTCCAAATAAAAGTTTCAGGAAGACTAGACATTTCCCCTACTGTTAGTAATCGAAAGACACCAATTTTATCAAACATTTTTATTACAATCACCATGTAACATTTCAAAAAAAAAAAAAAAGAAGGAAAGAAAGAAAATTAATCAAAGTGAAAGCTCTCTTAAAAAGTTAAAGAAAGAATCTTATGGACATGTTGGACCACTAAATTCACACATTCAGAAAAACCTACCGGTTCAAACAATTTACTGACTGCGAGCATAGGGCCTGTGGCTAAAGTCACAGACTGATAAGATTTTTTTTTTTGTTTTTTATTACAAAGACATTGATCTTGACTATTTGTGATGTAAGCAATTAAAACTGGAAAAAAAAGGTCATTAGAAATTCACACTGGGTGTACAAAATATGTGTATCATCAAAGGCATTTCAAAAAATTTTAATGAAAAAAATACTACTAACGCTTAGCTAAATAACACATTTTGACATTTTTTTTACATTTTCCCATTGTAGGTGGATGACCTCAAGGCTAAACTTGCCGCACAAGAGGTGGAGCTAGCTCAGAAGAATGAAGATGCCAACAAACTGATTGCTATTGTTGGAGCAGAGACCACCAAAGTGTCCAAGGAGAAAGCCATTGCCAGTGAAGAGGAAGCTAAAGTTGCTGTCATCAAAGCTGAAGTAACCAAGAAACAGATTGATTGTGAAACTGATCTGGCAAAGGCTGAACCTGCCTTAATGGCTGCCCAGGAAGCCTTGAACACTCTGAACAAGGTAAATTATGATAGATACTATGCTATATACTATACTTAGTGATTAATTTAGATTTTAGGCCGTAATGATTTCACAAATTTATTTTATAATATGAAAATGACAAAAAAAAATGTTTACTTGATGGTAGTGCTTGAATTAACTTGATATTCGTCCCATTTAAATCAAATGTTGCTGTTTTATAGATTGGAATATTTTAGATGCTTGTACGTTATCTATAAAACATAATTTTCACAGAACAACCTGACTGAGCTGAAGTCATTCGGCGCTCCTCCTGCAGCCTGTGTAATGACAACAGCTGCTGTGATGGTGCTATTAGCACCTGGAGGCAAACTACCCAAAGACAGGAGCTGGAAAGCGGCAAAAACAATGATGGCCAAGGTATAAATTATAATTAGCTTCAAAATGAATTTAACTTATGTTCATAATGAGATAAATGTATGAAAAATCTTTATGAGTACCTTTAATAGAGACCTTGTAGATGTTTTATCCTATGCCCTTTTTACATTTTCACCTAGAAAAATCTAAATTTAGGGTTGGAGGGGAGGTACATTGTTGGGGGGAATTGAAAGTTATCATTTATTATTATTATTATTATTATTATTATTATTTATTTATTTATTTATTTATTTATTTATTTATTTATTTATTTATTTTTTCATTTTAAAATTCCATAAGTACTTTTTCTGAATTTATGAATTTACTGAATTTTTTCACCTTTAGGTTGATGGTTTCTTGGATCAACTAATAAATTATGACAAAGAAAACATCCCTGAAAGTTGCCTTAAAGCTGTGCAGGAGTACTTGGATAATCCAGAATTTGACCCTGATTTCATCAGAAGTAAGTCCCAGGCCGCTGCTGGCTTGTGTGCTTGGGCCATCAACATTGTCAATTTTTACAGAATTTTCTGTGATGTTGAACCAAAGAGATTGGCCTTACAGGCGGCAAATGCTGAGCTAGCAGCTGCAACAGAGAAGCTGAATGGTATCATGGCCAAGATTCAGCAACTAGAGGAAGCCATGGCCAAGCTGACCGCAGAGTTTGAAAGAGCAACTAATGAGAAGTTGAGGTGTCAGGAAGAGGCTGATAATACCAATCGTACCATTTCTTTGGCCAACCGACTGGTAGGTGGTCTGGCCTCTGAAAATGTCCGTTGGGCTGAGTCAGTGAAAAATTTTCAGGAGCAAGAAAAAACGCTGCCAGGTGATGTCTTACTCATCACAGCTTTTGTCTCTTACATGGGTTGCTTCACCAAAAAGTACCGTGTTGATCTAATGGATGGAATGTGGCTTCCATTCCTGAAAGGCCTCAAGAATCCTATCCCAATAACACCAGATCTTGATCCACTCAGCATGTTGACAGACTCTGCCCAGATTGCAACATGGAATAACGAGGGCCTGCCATCAGATCGTATGTCCACTGAGAATGCCACCATCTTGGCCAACTGCGAGCGTTGGCCCTTAATGATTGATCCTCAGCTACAGGGAATCAAGTGGATCAAGACCAAGTATGGAGAGGACCTGGTGGTTGTGAGATTGGGACAGAAGGGTTACCTGGATACTATAGAGAGGGCAGTGTCCTCGGGCTTCACTGTTCTGCTGGAAAATATTGAAGAGACTGTTGATCCGGTGTTGGATGCTATCCTGGGCCGTAACACCATCAAGAAAGGAAGAGCCATCAGGATGGGTGACAAAGAAGTTGAGTACAATCCCCAATTTCGTCTGATCATTCATACCAAACTTGCCAATCCCCATTACAAGCCAGAAATGCAGGCCCAGACCACCCTGGTCAACTTCACTGTCACAAGGGACGGTCTGGAGGATCAGTTGCTGGCAGGTGTTGTACGCAAAGAGAGACCAGATCTGGAGAAACTCAAGTCTGATTTGACCAAACAGCAGAACGAGTTCACTGTGACCCTCAAGGAGCTGGAAGACAACCTGCTTGCCCGCTTGTCTTCTGCTGGTGGTAACTTCCTGGGTGACACTGCTCTGGTGGAGAACTTGGAAACAACCAAGCGTACTGCTTCAGAAATCGAGGAGAAAGTCAAGGAAGCTAAGGTGACAGAGGTCCAGATTAACGAAGCTCGTGAACACTACCGACCTGCAGCTGCCCGTGCCTCCTTGCTGTATTTCATTATGAACGACATCTTCAAGATTCACCCCATGTACCAGTTCTCTCTCAAGGTAACTTGAATGTTTTCCAGTTCCCACAGCTTAAGTCTTAATTGATTTTTTTTATCGATTCTTTGGGTAATCTACGGTACATTTGGGCAAGCCTTCAGCATTTAATGATAAAAATATGGTTTCATTTTCATTTTTCAAAATTTGATGGTATATTTGATTAAAACTCTTTTTCAATCTCTTTTTGTTAACAGGCCTTCAGTGTTGTGTTTGAAAAAGCCATTGAGCGTGCTGAGCCAGCTGAAGAAGTGAAGCAGAGAGTATTGAATCTCATAGACTGCATCACCTATTCCGTGTTCATATACACTACCCGTGGTCTATTTGAGAAGGACAAGCTGATCTTCACAGCACAGATGACATTCCAGGTACAGACAATTTTACCTTTCTTTTAAGTATATTTTTCTGCTACAATTAATCTGAATCATTTTTATGGATTATATGCAGTATATTACCATATATTTAAAATTTCTGCAATTAAATGTTCTTTTTGTGGGTGTGATAAGAAAATGACATTTGTTTTTGCCACATGAAAAATATCTCAAGGGAAACTTTTTTATCTTATATGATAATAATGATAATTATTTTAGATCCTGCAAATGAAGAAGGAGATTAATAATGTGGAGCTTGACTTCTTGCTGCGTTATCCTGCTGCTCCCAATGTCACCACTCCTGTTGATTTCCTCAACAACTTGGGCTGGGGTGGAATTAAGGTAGGTTGGTGAACTTTTTGTAGGTTATAGACTGGACTTACAAAAATAATGATTCATGGATTCCACATACAACTGGAGTGTTATATTTCAAATCTTTAAATCTAAACACCAAAATGTAAAATGTCCAGTTTTCTGCCCATAAAATATAAAACGTTGAATCAGTCATATATATCTATATATTTTGCTCTGACACCTGTAGGCATTGTCTGCTATGGAAGATTTCCGAAACTTGGATCGTGATATTGAGGGATCAGCCAAGAGATGGAAGAAATTTGTGGAGAGTGAGTGCCCAGAAAAAGAGAAATTCCCACAGGAATGGAAGAACAAGACCTCTCTTCAAAAGCTGTGCATGATGAGGGCACTCAGGCCTGACCGTATGTCTTATGCTGTCACGTAAGTATCTTAGAGCGACACAATTACATCTCTCATCTAAAGGAATATCCTCATTTTTTTTAACTCAGTGCCTAAATATTTATCTTTTTGAACAAAAAAAAGGTATATTTAATGGAAGCATTAATCCAGTATCCATTTTCTTAATTTTCTAGCAATTTTGTGGAGGAAAAGCTTGGAAGCAAGTACACAGAAAACAAATCTGTACCATTCCCTAAATCCTATGAAGAGACTGGCCCTGGCACCCCGGTCTTCTTTATCCTCTCACCTGGTGTAGATCCACTGAAGGATGTAGAAGCTTTGGGAAAGAAGATTGGTTTCCATGGTGATAACCATAACTTCCACAACATCTCTCTTGGCCAGGGTCAGGAGATTGTTGCAGAACAAGCCATGGACTTGGCTGCGAAGGAAGGCCACTGGGTTGTCTTGCAGGTAGGTAACTGAGCAATTTAGGAACTTTTGTCAAAGGAAAAAAAATTGAGTTGCTCATGCAATTCAGTATATGTTGTATGTGTATGTGTGTGTGTGTGTGGTTTTTTATTTATTTATTTATTTATTTTGAAAGTTTGCAAAGTGACCAATTTCTTAAAAGTTCATTGTTTATTAATAACTATAAATGGAAACAAGTATGTAATCTGGTATTTCATAATCTAATGACTTACGTATGTTCTATAACCAAAAATTATTAATAGAAAATCTCTACAAATCACACCAAAACAAATTAAAATACTTTATGTTTTTCATCTAGAATGTCCATTTGGTGGCTAAATGGCTGTCCAACTTGGAAAAGAAGCTTGAGGAGTATGGCTTGACTGGACATGAGGCCTACCGTGTGTTCATCAGTGCTGAACCTGCTGCTTCAGCAGAATACCACATCATACCACAGGGCATCTTGGAGTCTGCCATCAAGATCACCAATGAGCCTCCTACTGGCATGTTTGCCAACCTTCACAAAGCCTTGGATAACTTTAACCAGGTACATAATGTGCCATTCACCAGGCACTGTGGAATTATGTCCTATAATTTTTTATATTCTTGTGAATTTTTATCTAGTTCACCATAATATAAATAAAGCCTTAACTTAAAAATTTCCCAGTTGCTATAATTAACTACTGAAATGAACTTAAATTTGCTGCCTTTCCTTTATTAATTTTCTTATTAAAATACTGCATTTACTATTCAGCTGTGCCACAGCCAATTAATTTAAATTTCCTTTACAAAAACTCCATTTTCCACATACTGTTTATTTCTAGGACACCTTGGAGATGTGTGCTCGTGAAGCAGAGTTCAAGAGTATCCTGTTTGCCCTGTGTTATTTCCATGCAGTGGTATGTGAGCGCCGTAAGTTTGGTCCTCAGGGATGGAACAGGTCTTACCCATTCAACACAGGAGATCTGACCATCAGTGTCAATGTGCTCTACAATTACTTGGAAGCCAATGCAAAGGTGTGCATACATTTTTTTTTATTTGGCAGTACTGAAGGCTATGTGTATTTGTTCTTGTAAAGAAACATACTTTTGAAACCCAACGAAAACCCAACTTTGTAAAAAATGAAGCATTTCTGACAAGCATAGACAACAAAGCAAGAAAAGCTTAAAGAAATTTGTAGTGAAAATTAGAAAATTAAATCCTTTGGAGAGAATTTTTTATGTATAAATTTTTTGTGCTATTTGTCTTGTCTTGTCCTTCTAGGTTCCATGGGAAGATCTGCGCTACCTGTTTGGTGAAATTATGTATGGTGGTCACATTACTGATGACTGGGACCGTAAACTGTGTAGAACATACCTGGAGGAGTACATGCACCCAGACATGGTGAGTGTCGGAGAGCTTGGACACCTCTTGTACTGTTGAAATACTTTTTAATACCATGGTAAAAAAAAAAACACAATGTGATAGTGACCAGAGATTATTGCCATTTTTAACCTGTGGGATAACATTACACATTTTAATATCTTGTAACAACTGTGCATTGTTGAAAATTTAAAGTAATGAGCAACAGAATCTACTTCCTTTTGGTTCAAAGCAGTTCAACCATTAACAGCAGCATTCTCTGTTTTCTAGCTTGATGGCGAGCTGTACCTTGCTCCAGGCTTCCCCATTCCACCCAACTCTGATTACAAAGGTTACCATGGCTATATTGATGAGTGCCTGCCCCCAGAGAGTCCATACTTGTATGGTTTACATCCCAATGCTGAGATTGAGTTCTTGACCACAAGATCTGAGGTTCTGTTCAGGACTGTCTTTGAGATGCAGCCGCGTGATGCTGGTGGTGATGGTGGTGGTGGTGGCACTCGTGAAGAAAAGGTAAGAAATATTTCATTTTTATCAGACACATTTCTAAAATACCCCAGTAGCATGATTATACAAGCACTTTGACCTTAATTTTCAAATTTCTTGAAATGTTGGTTAAGTTGCCTATATTTGACTTTTACAGAGATGAGATTTTTCACCATTTATAAATTGTTAAATCTTTTTAAACTAATCCCTATCTTTTAAATTTGAATTTATAAAACAATCTTCATAAGTCCCCATGTTTCACTTTAGATCAAAGCCATCTTGGATGAGATCGTAGACAAATTACCAGAAGAATTCAACATGGTAGAAATCATGGCCAAGGTACCGGTGGAGGAGAGAACACCATATGTTGTTGTGGCTTTCCAAGAGTGTGAGCGCATGAGTATGTTGATCAAAGAGATTCGTAGAAGTCTGAAAGAGCTGGACTTGGGTCTCAAGGTAAGAGATTTTAAGGGTAGCACACTTTTGAGATTTTTGTCTTGCATACATATGTTCACAAGGTTTGTAACAGAGGCTGGTTTGATGTTTGATTTTTGTCAGTCTTACAAAAAATATTTAACTTATTTGGTCCTGTAAGGTTACATATGATTTTGATGATGACAATATAGATATTTTCTTTCATTTTTTTTTTCACCAGTAAATTAAGTATTTTCCAAGATTTAAAAATAAAACAGAATGAAAAACTTATCTATGTTTTCAATTTATGAGTTATTCACTGTGTATGCTTATATTAACTTTTAATCATTCAGGGAGAACTGACTATAACAACAGACATGGAAAACCTTGGTAATTCCTTGTTTATGGATACAGTACCAGATGCCTGGGCCAAGAGAGCTTATCCATCTTTAATGGGTCTCACTCAGTGGTATGCTGATCTACTGTTGCGTGTCAAGGAGTTGGAAAGCTGGGTGTCAGACTTCCAGTTGCCTGCTGCAGTGTGGCTGGCTGGCTTCTTCAACCCTCAGTCCTTCCTGACTGCCATTATGCAGCAGATGGCCCGTAAGAATGAATGGCCTCTAGATAGGATGTGTCTGCAGTGTGACGTCACCAAAAAGAGTCGAGAGGACATGGGTGGCCCACCACGTGAAGGTGCCTACGTTCATGGTCTCTTCATGGAAGGTGCACGCTGGGACAGCCAGGCTGGCATGATTGCAGAGTCACGCTTGAAGGAACTTGCTCCTCCAGTGCCTGTCATCTTTATCAAGGCTATCCCAGTAGACAGGCAGGACACCAGGAATGTCTATGAATGTCCAGTGTACAAGACCAAATTCCGTGGACCAACATTTGTCTGGACCTTCAACCTTAAGACCAGAGAGAAGGCCAACAAGTGGGTGTTGGGAGGTGTGGCCTTGCTGTTGCAGGTCTAAAGAACTTGAGCAAATGTTATATAGTTTGCAGTCAGTTTGAACTTTTTTGGGACAGCACTGAGCTTCCACTGGCTTTACATTTTGCTCACATGTTGAACTTTATGAGATATCTGATTGCGTCCAAGTTATTTTTTTATGACATTCAGCACATGACTATATTGATAAAAAATTTGCCTATTATAACTGTTACAGTATTTAAGCTGTAGTTGTCTTTTCACATTTTGTGATTTCCAATTGCAGTGCTCAGTTAACATTATTTTTTAAATGCTGTTGTCTTTCCTCTTTAAAAATGACATAAAAATAAATTATTTTCTTTATTTTAAAGTAAAAACACTTCCGTCCTTAAAAAAATCAGTAAGATAACTTTAGAGAATTTCTTATTTCATAAATATTTCCCTTGCTGTGATATTTTTGTAGTTCAATATTTTTATTATATATGATACAAAATGATCTTGTTGATATGTATTTGCAGTATATTTTAAACAGTACTAATTGGTATCGTCTTTGTTGATGACACATTATGTTTTGCTTTGAAAATAAATTATTTAACAATCCAGTTCAGCTGGCTGCCTGTTTTTGTATTGGGTGTATTTAAAACAAACTCATCAATCTTTTGTCTTGATATAAATTTCTAAAAAATAACAATAATAATAATAAAAGTATCCAATGTAATTCAGTGAAATTCTACTCAATACTACAACAGGTACTTGACTCTAGCACGTCAATACTTTGTCTGAACAGCCTTAGCCATGTGCAATTCAGTACAAAATTGATATTCCAATCAATGCTAGAATATCAAAATAATTGAATATGTTGCAGACTTCACGCTCTCACAAGTACTTACTAGTAACAAAACTTTTAAATAACTTCCGAAAATTCCATCTGCAGCTGTGGCTTTCTGTCACGCTGCCAAACTTGAACAGAAGGACATGCAGTAGACATTTCTCGTTAAAAACTTATTTTTCTTTCGCGGTCACGCGTCTTCGAAAACGAAAGCGAACGCTCATAGATTATTGCACGGGAACGCTTTTTGGGTACGTACGGATAAAATTTAGTCCCAAAATATTACACGTCCCTATACTCCCGTTACCGATAGATACATAAAGGAAAAACGGAAAAAACGTCTTTTTAGATTTAAATACCGATAGATCCGATTTTTTTCTGCTGTCCTATATATTTGCGTTCCTATAGATATGACGTCCTCATAAACCCACGTCCTTTAAATCCGCATACCTATAGATCCACGTATTTTTAGATCCAAATACCGATAGATCCATTACAGGTACACTATTGCTCGAAATGGTTGGTATACTACTCAGTACATAAAATGCACTTCTTTAAAACGGCAGTACGCAGTCAGCAATATATTATTCTACTAGATCGTTTTCACACAATACTCAGTGAAAGAACATAAAAAGAACAAAAGTGTGTTCTATATTTCACAACGCTTAATTACTGTTCTAGCGTCAGAACACTGTTTAAAGCGTTCTCAAAATGCAACATTCGAACACGTAAAAAGTGTTCTGAATTTACATGTAAATGTGTTCTAAACAAAACAAAACAAAAAAGAACATAAAAATGTGTTCTAAAGTTCACAACGCAAGTTGATATGGGCCTTTTAGCCGATTACGATGTCAGATAGATGGATCTAGCGGTACCTGGATCTAAAGATACGTGGGTTTATAGGAATCTGTTGGTGGATCTATCGGAACGTAAATTTAACGAGACGTAAATCTATTGAGACGTGTATGTATAGAGACGTATCTATCGGGGCGAATATTTTATTGGGACGTTTATCTATATGGCGGACCCCCGCTTTTTGTGGGGAGACGTTATAAAGTTAGAATTGTGATTACTGCATCGAGTAGCTTTTTCATATATAAAATTTTCATTGTAAGGTCTATGGTATCCAGGCAATTTTATCATTTGCATGTATGCAAAATATTAACATCATACCGTAATTGAAACTAGAAGCAGGTTTTTTCGCCGGTGCCCCCGAAGAAAATAGAGCCAAACAAGTAGTAAAATGTTTGATAACTTGTCACAGTCGACAACCATGTGGTTACCTGCATGTGGAAAACGGTCAATTTCATTACAAATGTTTTAAAGAATATTTTCACGTAAAAACCGTTAGATAAGCATTTTCAGGGCCAAAATATGTCATCTACGTGAGACAAATGTCAAAGAAAGCACTAAATGGGAGGCAACATACAAAAAAAGCGAGATTGTCCAAATCGAAAAAGAGAACAGGAAACATATGCTCTATTGCTTGCATGTAAATATTTTCATGTCAGATGTTTTGAAGTAACAGTTGCAGTTAAGGTTGTAACAAGGAGGCGGACAGTATCATTACTAAGATGATTAGTATATCGAAGGCATTATTTCTAGTACTGGTGTTCCTACCAGTAGAATGTTCAACTCCAATAACTGGAAACTTGCCAGATGAAAACGTTAACACAAAGGAAAGACCAAGAAATTACTTCAATCAAATGACAAAACAGACGTACAAGTAAGCATTGAGGAAAATGCTGATAAGGTGAGGTTTTTTTATATTGAATCCTTTCCTTATTATGTAAACAATTTCAAGTCAACTGCCACTGAATCTTTTTAACTGTAGGGGGAAACGCATTTTAATACTTATCTAATAACATATGTATAATAAACTGGAATTTTATTATGATTTACACTGCTTTGTAATAAATAAGTCCACTCGAAGAAAACAGAAAAAGTCAAAAATGAAGTTAAAGATATATTCGACAATTCTACTTTCTCGTAAACTCTGGTGACAGGAAGTGATAAATGTACCTTTTTGTGTAAATCATGATAAATTTTAAAATTCATTACTTGCTAGTAGGGGGAGGGGGGTTGCATTCAGTAACAATGGTTTTAGTAACAAATTTTTAAAAAATAACAACTGGTGTGGGTAATATTCGCACACTGTATTAAAAAACTGACAAAAATTAGACAACCCTAAAGGGGTATTACGAGATACATGCCTATATGACTGACACATTTTATCCTCGGCCTGAAGTATTTTTTTCACAATCCCTGGTATACAAAGGTTTTACAACTTACCTACTATGAGAATGCACTTTTGCCGTGCTGCGTGTCAAACATTTGACTGTGCTTTGTCACCATATTGTCTCTTTAATCATGGATGTAACTAATTTGAGAATTTTATAAGTGGCAAAAATATCAAATATGACAAAAGAACATCAAACAATGAAAATCAATGACCTGCAGCAAAAGATGTCATTAAGGTTTTTTTCTAATTTTAATAGCCAGCGACACCAGGAAAACACCGGTAGACATTTATTGCATTCCATTTAACACATTTCCTTAGACTTTAGACATCATTTTTCAAGGCATATTAAGCATTGGACGTGTACATTCACACCCTTTAAAGCAATAAAGTTTATTTCTCCCTTTTGAAAACTGCATTTTAATGTAAAGTAAAAGAAATATAGAAGGTATAGCTGTATGTTTACAACCTACCAGGTACTTGGCCTGAGCAAAAAAAAATGGTTTTAAAACTTACTCCTTTTGTTTGTGAGATTCTGTAGATCTGTAAGACCTGATGTAATAGGGATTTTTCAAGTTTAACTTGTTGATTTTTCTTTCGGGTACAGCATGATACAGTTATGAAGTACAATCATGTCATCAGTTTGTCATGATTGGCTTTTCCATTTACATGTACCAAGCTTAAATGACCAACCAAAAAGTGGTCATTTTCTATAAGATGGATGGAATATGATAAGAACCCTTTTCAAATTTAATCTTTGGGAGATTATATTGTTCAAAATATATAGAAATATGACCAGTGCATTAATTTTGGCGCTTTTTATAATGGTCTGTAGCAGAAAGTGGAAGCATTTTATTGTAAAGATCGTTATGTAGATATATTGGATCAGACATTTCCTTTTCAATTTAGATTATTACAGATATAAAACTAGGTCAGTCTTGGTCACGAAACAATTGATTACATAATAATTTTCTTCTCAAATCTTATGTAATTAATTGTTTAAAAAGATTTTCTGAACCTTAAAACATTTTATTTGAAAGAACCATAACTACAGAACTTATATCTTCTGTGCTTGTAAGAAAGATAGATGATACTGCTCAAGGATCTTGCTTTTATCAATACTCTCAGATTGAACATAAATTTATTATCTCTTTAATGCAGCACCAGTACCCAGACAAAATTCAATAACATCCTGTACATCCCTAAGGACATGACTCTTTGCACTGAACCACTTCCTAAGTGATCACTTATTATTTTACATGAATTAATTTTGTTTTTAGTTTGGTTTTTCAAATTACATAAGAAAAATGTTTTGCATAATTTAAATAGTTAAAAGTAAGTTAAGGAAAGTATTTTAAAAATTAAGGCTTAAAATGTGTTTTTCCTAATATTCACTGAAGATTACAAGGGAGTGTATTGATTGTTGCACAGGGAAGCTTGCTAAGTTCATTAGGTTGGCAGCTTGTGTTCCCAGCTGCAAGTCTGAATCTATTCCTAGTCCATATTTTGATCATGCAAGAAGGCTGATCCGGTTACAGTAAAAAGAGGTAACTTACATTTTCTATGTAGTTGGATGATATATTTTAAGATTTTGCATCATTGTCTTGTTTATCTAATGTCATTGTGTTCCCCTTCTTGTGTGAACAAAGAAGTTACACATAGAGCACAGAATGTGTATATTATAGTTGACAATGAAAATTTATTTTACTTTATGTCTGTGCATATTACATGGAGTTGGGTTCACTTGTTCAGGATTACTGCACTGTTGGTTATTACTGTATATGTACAATGTAGTGATTAGCAGTGCCTTTCAGCATTCTCATTTACCAATAGAATGTGTCATTAATAAACACTGTAATATGTATTAAGTGTTGTATAATCTTCCAATTTTTTTTTTGTAAAGAAAAACTAAGAAGTTATAGTCATATGAAGAACTTCAATTGGAAAATGCTGTAAATTGAGTAAATTATTTTTGGTATAAAGCTGTTCCAGACCAGTCTGTGGTACTGTATGCTGCACACCAAGATAAAACTGTATGTTAGCATACTTGGTGTACATGTATAAATATCTCTCACCAAGAGTGCTTGTTTTACTTAATTTAGAAAAAGTTAAAATAGGAAAGGCATATTGCTGCAAAACCCAGGTTTAGTTTCTGTTTAAAGATAATATAGAGCAAGAATTGGAAAATTGAAGTGAATTTTGTCTCAGTTACTTTCCCTTAAATTTTTATGTAAACTATTTAATGGTAAAATGATAAAATATTGTTTATTTGTGAATTTATATTTTTTTTAATATTTACAAAGTTTACATTAACATGTTTGTAGTTTTTGTGACTATTTTTTTTAATTACGCTCTCGCCAGCAACATCAACCAATTATTGAACTGAGCAAATAATTTCTCCCCTCCTTCCATATAAGCAACTTTAAAATTGTTTAGTGTTTTACAGATGTTGTAAAAAAAAAATACAACATTACAGTATAACAGTAAGGTTTCCAGCCCTTCTATTCACTACTGTTCAAGCAAACAGTCATGCATATTTCACCACGTGCTATCAGTCACTGATGGGATCACTAAGTAGGTATTAAATTCCTTACCTAGCAGTAAGTGGCCACTGTTTAATGATCCCAACACTTGAAAATGCAATTAAATTACAAGGCAATTGCACATGTCATTCACAGAAGACAGATGTTTTGTCTAGACAGTCTGTAGGGTGTTTATTATTTGTGTCAAGTGTCATGTAGCGTTATGAGTAACTTAACAGTTTGGTGAAGAGTGTTAGGTTTCAGCTTGGAAGAATATGGTTTGAGAAAAAATGATTGCCCGCCCCTCCCCCTTCTACATAGCCCTCCCCATGTTGACATGCTTTTGATGAAGCATCTCTCAAATATAATGGAAATATTTCAACAGCTGATTTATGGAGTTTTTATGTGCTCTCTAAACAATCAAGACACATAAACTTAAAATAACTCTGGTGTTGAACCAAACACCACTACACATGAAAAAAAACATACTATAAGCTGTATTTCAATCTTCAGCAGCTGCTTGTTTGTAACAAAATTGATTTGTTAAGCAATTATCATGTTGGCAAGGATAAGCAGAGATATTTTAGAGACCTGTTCTACACACAATTGTGAGGTTTATCCATTTTAAATGCTGTCATTTGATCTTGCCTCCATTTGTTAAGTACTTCTTTTTATTCATTCAACCGCTGTCATAATGTGTTGTTTTAAAATACTACTAATAAGTCTACTCAGCATTGATTTGATACTTTGAATTTAAAAAAAAAAATATTTGTAATTTTTTAAAAGGATGTAGCAAATAAATACAAGTTATCCATCAAATCATCTTCACTCTCAAGTTGAATTTTAACATCTGTTTTTATTTACCAGCTTTATTGCATTTATATGCCGTATGCATTGTTATAAAATATAAAATGCAGCTGTGTAGTTATTAAATGTACACTGTGCTGCTAAATTGAGCAATATCTACATTGATTGCCCACGATGGGGTCAGTAAATTATGCAAAATTATGATCCCATTTCCATGTTAATTGCCTGGATGTGGGGTGGGGTGGGGGAGGGGGTGTCTGATGAATAATCCAGTTAGGTGATGATAACACATAAGATGTTGTACTGTAATTAATAATCCATTTTTAGATATTTCCAGATAGCTTTGATTATGTAGTGGTACATGAAACCCAACTTATAAATATATACAGCAAAATGTCACAAAAAGTTAAATGCAATTTAAAAAATCTTAACCAAATTTTTGAATCATCCTCAGGTAGCTTAAACACAGCTGGAGCAAAGCTATGGGCCAGAAAGGTAGTCACACCCGCATTACCCCTGGGGACTACCATTTTGCTACCCCAGACCCTAGGAGAGCACCCCAGCAAGGCAACACCACCAGCAGAGCTCCAGTGCAACAAGAGTCTGTGCCCAGTTCAAAACATGTTCAGAAACCCAGAAGGTCCTCTGACTCCAACATCCTCACAGCAGGGCCAGTGGTGTCAGTACCACCCCGCTCTTTCTCAGATCCTAGTGACAGTCCATATGTGGTTGAGTCACATAGGACTGTGCCTGCTGCTGCTGCTGTTTCTCCTGTACAGACACGTAGTCTCTTTACTGATGAAAGTGGTAAAAGCATGCCTGACTGCCCCCACACTTTATCAAACCAGCTAACTAATAGCTTACTGCAGGAAGACCCCAAAGTCAAAAGGGAAGAAAAATGGGATGGAGATGCTGGAGGTCAACTGGTCAGAGATTTCAGTCATGAACACCTTTCTGTTGGTGACATACCAGTATCAGTAGCCTGTGATGGTCAGGGCTCCGTGTTAAAGCCAGGTCATTCTAATCCTTATGAAGTGTCAGGCAATGCTAAACAACATTCCAATACACTGAGTGATGTAAGAAGCCAATCAAATCCTCCTACTGCTATAGAATTAATCCTGGCACACAATGATATAGGACACCCCTTTCAGCCCAGCCCCATTCAACCTGGTTACAATGAAAGGACAGAGGAAGCTGGAATGCCTACTAAAACCACCAGTGCAGAAAATGGAAACATAATAATAGGTAGCACAATAGCACAGCCTAGTGGCTCTGGGCCTGATTTGCTACATGATAATCAGGATATAGATCTTTATACAGGTCCACCAGAGTGTGTGGGACTGACAAAGGAGGGGACGGCAGCATCAGTTTGGTGTGGAATACCTGTAGTGGCACAGGCTAATGCAGAGCTCTGCAGTTTTCATTCTAAAAAACACTCATTGTTGAGTCCACACTGTCAGTATCAAGAGAATGACATCAGCAGAACAGTTTGCTGTCAGCATGGAGAGGACTTTGAGCGAGACAAATTGAAGGAATTTAATAACTGGGTTCCTTGCACTACTGTGTGTGAGTCTAGTAAACAAAAGGGAAAAACTGGCTCTGTAGTTAACCAGGTTAAGAATTCCTCAAAAACTTCACTAGCACCTCTCACAAAAAGCAGCGAGAAAAATGATGGACTGAGCCAAAGTAAGTACACTGAGAATTTATTGTCATCTGAGAAAATAAAAGGGCAGTCAGATACTGTAAGTTTTAATAAAACTGCTGCCGGGAGCTCATTTCCTTCCCTTCTAAATGGACAACATGAGAAATGTCTTCAAATTGAAAGGAGTACAAATGATGTAAATTTGTCTCAGCTGTCAGAGGGAGATGGAATTAATGGACATTCTTCCTCTAAAGTGAATAACAGTCACAATGGAAGTAATTGTACAACCAAATGTGAAAATTCACCAGTAAGCTCATATTTTAAAATTGACTCTACTGTATTTTCTCACGGTCAGCTAAGTGACCCACATGGAAATTCAGCTGGAAGTAAAACCACAGAAAAGATAGAAGAAAATACAACAAGAAAAAAGGCCATAAGAAGAAAACTATTAGGATCACTAGAGGAGTTAACTGAAAAAGTTGAAATAATTGACACTGCTCTGAATCAAGACCTTGTACAATATGACTGTAGACATGCTACTGATGGTTTGTTAGAAGATGGAGAAATTATCATGGATGGAATGTTGAGTACAATATCCCCAGGGATGTCTGACCCAGACAGGGGACTTATTCTAGACCGTCAGTCCACAGGGAAGGAATATCGTACTGGTATGGCTCACCTAGAACCAAGAAGACGGTCACTAGAGGTTGAGAAAGATAGGACACACATTCAGGGTTTAAATCTCAGTCCATCACCAAACTACCCTCCTGAGAAAGGGTCACAACATAAATATACCACCAGACGTCAGTCACTTGAATTAGACTGCATGATGCAGGGAAAGAAAAATGGTCTGTCTTCCTCTCATTATGGTCTTGAAGATATGAGATCTAGAACCCCTGAAGTTTACTTCCCAGAGAAAGAAAATGTCAGTTTGTCATCTGTCAGAAAGTTTGAATCGGTGTCAAATTTAAATTTGCAAGGACACCATGCTCATGGCTCTTCAGTGACAAGCTTGGTGTCACCTGCGACCTCGAGTGGATTCATTGCAGACAAACGGGAAATGTATTCTGAAACTGAAGCAATGAGATCCACTGCTTATGAGATTATTCGTCAGCAACAAAAACAGCAGCAGCAGCAGCAGCAACATCAGCAGCAGTTATCACATCATCAGCACCAACCATCACATCAACAACAGAAGTTGTCATCTCAGGAGCAGCAACATTTACAGCAATCACATCATCCTCCAAAGCAGCAGCAGCAACAACATACACCAATTCAACAGCAGCAACCACAATTCTCTCAGCATCAGCAACAACAACAGCAAAATAAGCAATCACCACAACAACAGCACCTCAGTTCACACTATCATCACCACCAGTCTGTGCCAGTGGAATCTCATGACCAGCACTCACAAAGACATTCACACCATGAACCTTCCAGAGATCATGTACAACATAGTCAGCAACATCAGAAACCAACCCTTAAAGAAAAACTTAGACAGAAACAAAAGCAGCAACAACAGCAACTTCATGCTGCTCAGCATCGTCAAGCCTCTCACTCCAGACAATACATAGACCATCAAAATGATCGTATTTCTCAGAAATCTCCATCAATGATTGCTCAGAAATCTCCAGGAAAATCTCCAGAAAATGTGTTTACATTTGAGCGTATGCCAGTCCATGGGGCATATGGGTCTGTCTCACAAAATAAAGACAACTTGAAGCATCCAACCAGCCCTGCCCATCAGATCTCACAGGAACAAACTGTAACCCCTGTAGCCAAAAAAAGTGTGAGAGTCACAGATATAGATAAAGTGGAAATGATGTTAGCACAATATACTCAAGAAAAAGAACGAAAAAGAGCTTTAAGTCAAGGGGATACAGAAGACAAATCTATGTTGTATGAAAAAGAGAATTTGTCAAGGCAAATAGAAGGCGGATATCTTTCCAGTGGTAGTGGTAGAAGTAAAGTTCATGCAAGTGAAAGAGTAATGAAGCATGAGCAACAGAGTGTCAGCAGCAGAGCAAGTAGCGAAAGGACAGCAGATAACAATAAAACTCATTCATCCACCCATCTTGAAAGTCAGTACCACCAAGTGCATGATTCACATTACAAAACTTCTTCCTTTGGAAATGTAGGGGAAATGATAGAACGGCACCCATCAGTACACCATAATGGGAAGAAAAATGGTGACACTAACCATAGTAATAATGGCCAATATCCGCACATCAATGGGCTCAATCAGATGCAAAATTACAGTAATACTAGTCCAGAGATACACAAACAGAGTGATGCGAAGCTGAGTGAGTTGGACAGCAGTGTAGCATCAGCTGTGACAAATGTTGTCAACAAACGGTTGGATCCACAAGACCGACCCATGATAGATGGAACAAAAAACAGGGGGCAGGAGGCGAGGGAAAGGGCGCAACATGCACGACCCTCTGATGGTGCCTCTATGGAAAGTTTTATTGTCTGGCCAAACACAGTGCCAGATAAACTGAACTTCAATCATCTGGAAAAATTTGAAGGTATGTTTTTTTGTTATCATAATATACTGTTGTGGGGTGGAGATAAGTTTGTTGATTTTTATCTTCTGGGTTTGAGGTAGTCTGCTTTTCAAGATTCGGTGCATGCCTTTGTGTATTGTGGATGATTGATTCATGTTTTGATTTCTTTCATATTATAAGTTCTTTTTGATTACTTTATTTTCAGCTTTTAAGAATTTACATAAAGATAAAAATAGATTTATTTCAGGGTTTTGGGCAAGAATTTGAAAATTTTGATCAGAATAATTTGTTTTTATTTTGGCATTTCATTTTTTTTTCAGATCTACAGCATATGTAGTTTTTTATTAATTAATGTGTTGTTTGTTGTTATTATTATTATTATTATTATTATTATTATTATTATTATTATTATAACATTTTGTTTATTTATTTATTACAAATTTACATTAGTGATTTAGTAGAACAGATGTAAAAGATAATGAAAATCAATGCAAGCACTCTCAAATTCAAAGAACATTATGTTGTAATTATCAAGCACTGCTCTCTCTTTTATTGTAAACTGTTTGTTAAGGGCATTTTCCTTGTTTGAAACTACAGATGAAATATAATTTAAACTATATGGTTAATATAGGTTATTATCCTAAAGTTCTTGTCAGCAGTATGTTAATGTCATGTTTTCATGTGAGAACATGCCCTGTAATAATCATATTTCATGTAGCATCTAAAATGGAAAATTGTCCCTTTCATCTTTCCATCTTTTATGATGTGGACATGATTATTTGGGTTCGTGTTGCATATTTTAGTTATGCTAGAGTTGTTTTAATCTAGATTCAGGTTCACCTGTCTGTGTTGTAGATATCTAATAAATACAAGTTGGAGAAAAGTTAATTATGTAAAAAGTCAACAAAAGATGATATGATTAATTTCACATTCTGTCCAGGGTGAATAATGAATGAGATTTTGAGAATTGGCCAAATAAGACCAAAATATGACTATTGATGCATTCTATTTACATGCCCAGGTGAAATTGGTAAGAATAGCTTTATCTCTGTATCTCTGCAAAATATGTTTTTAAAAATGTTTAGTGCAACTACGTTTGGCTTTTGCATTTGTTGCTTATCAGATTTTTTATTCCAGTTGCAAATGAACATAACACTAAAAATAATAGCAGGCTAAAAAGGAGGGGTGGTTTATATCCCAATATTATTGGCAATTAAAGGCCACTAACTTTTTGTCTTTTTTTAACTGCTCTTCCAAATTCCTCTTCTAGTTTTCTGATACTAAAAACAGTGACTCTGTCAATGTGGATTTTCTGTTGTTTTGGCAATATGCATTTTATTTCTATTTTCCCTTTGGCCATTCTGGCTGTGTTAGTTGAGATTGCTTAATCTTGCCTGACAGGCACTGCATGTATCAACCTTCTTATGGCTCAAATTGCATTCTGATAAGCTTTTGTTGTTGGCAAAGAACTGCTTTGAAATTACAGTTTAGAAAAAGGGCAGAGATAGATGGTGTATTGATCAAACAGAGGGCTTCAAAAACACAATAAAACCATTGGTTTAACTGAGAAAAAAATTGAAAACATTAAGTAATTGCCTGAGCAATGTTTGGACTGATAAAGATGCTTTTAAAGTACTTTCAAAATATCTCTGAGCACTGTTCATTTGTTGATTAATTGTCCTATCTGTAAAGTACAGTCCTCTTCTAGGAAATGCAAGTTAAATAGCATTCAGTAGGAATGGTTTAAATGATTGGAAATAAAACACTCATATCTCTGTTACTTATTTAATTTTAATATTTTTATGCCATAATCCCTTCAAGCTTACTGCACTTTCCTTGAATAATCAAACCAGCAAACTGATATCTTAACTGCTTGGCCTTTAGTTTGAACACTGTCTATGTGCTAATGGGCTATTGAGGGTGAATATTTAAATTTGGTGCTTTTCTGTACTGCATTGCTAAGAGCTACAAAATGTAGGTGTTCACGAGGGGGAAAAACTACTACATTATTTTACCATTAATAGAGACAACCTACAGGTAATTGTACAGGTTGATCCTTATTCAAGATGTGCATTATTTTTATGCTGGCTCTGTTACAGCTTAGGATACAGCACCATTATGGAGATTTTCTACCTTAATTGGAAGCAAAATACCTACATGGTTCTACCAGTCCTGTGGAGAGGTGTATGTTGAGGTATATGAAACATTAATGTAATCCTGGACAAATGAGGACCCACAGGGGAGTTTTGTTTTTTAAATTGGATGGAATATAGTTCTTGTCTGGCTTGCTGCTGTTCATGCTGAGTGTTTTAGCTGCTGGTATTTCACAGTTGGATGATTCTGGGATTCAATGTGTATACAAGGAAACCAGATCTAAAAAGGTGATATACTAGTGTGAATGATGAGGTTGAAGGTAAAGATGAGGATAAAGATGACAGTTTGATGGTGATGCAGGTGATCATACAGAACAGTTATCATGGCATTTGGTTCTTGATAAGTGAGCAATTTTCTAATTTACCTTTTTTGTAGATCACCAATATAATAGTTCATAAAAGTTATGTATATTAGCAATGGAATATAAACCTTTGTTCTATGCTTGATGTCATGTACTGTTTTAGTATTTGACCCCCTCAATGCACAAGATATGAGATTTTCCGTGGGAAGTCTGCATTTTTCCCTAATAATTTTCTATTTTCATCACAAAATTGATCATATTTTATTTGTCCCTATCAATTGCCTGCCACAGTTAATGGAAGACATTTCTAGGACAAATGATAAACACTTAACAATCCAGGTTGCAGGGCCTCATTTTATCTACTCTACTGAAATGATCATTATCTTTATTTATCATCGGAATATGATTGGCATTTGTTCTTAAGGGAGACTGCATAGGAACATTAAATGTAAAAAATACATCCCACATAAATCATCTTATAAGATATAATGTAAATGTGATAATATCAAGGGACAATTGATAAAAAATTATGTTACAGTTCAAATAACCCTTGTGTGTGTGGCCATAATGAGAGATTGTTCACCTGTATGTCCATGTAGATGTGATGTTATTTTGTTTTTGTTAAAATGCATGGGGAAATGTAACTCTTGAATATATTTTTCGATTGATTGTGAGTTGGGTTTCTATGGCAACCTCAACATAGCATTGATCGTCTGTGGTATACTTATCCTCTCAGCTGGCAGCTGGAGAGGTGCTGGTTTAACATTGATCTAATTTTCTGTAGCAGCTACCATCACTAAAGGAAACAAATTAAGCTATTTTTTAAAACAAAAAAGAAATCCTTTGAAAGATAATTTTTTTATTATTTACTGCAGCAGTAATATGTGAACTGAATTATCTATGGTATATTGAACATTAGAATATTTTTAAGCTATTAAAAGTGATATCATAAAAAAACTTAACCCGTTGATCAGGAAAAATTGGTTGTCAATATTAATTGAGCTTATGGGCATGTAAAGCTAGATAACGCCAGGGGGTCCAACCCCCACACTTTCTCTCTTTCTCTCTCTGCTGTCCTGAACCTTCCCCAATAAGGAAAAATGATAAGCATCAAATTTTTATAAACAACCAACTGTATATTTTATCACTAAAGACTTAAGCATGCGTGTTAGACATAGTAAACCTTATAAAGAAATTATCTCCCATCATGGAGAAAGATGTGTATACGTGCACATGCATGCACGTGAAAAGAGATTGTTGTAAGGGAGGTAAAGATCTAATAGATCTAAAATTTGCTTTTAGATTACGGAAATTTTTTTCTTCTTAGATTATTGTCTTTCACATGTTCAGATGTATTTCCTATGTTTAGAATGAAATCAACACATTATTCATAGCCTATACATGCAATCTTTTTAATGTACATGAGTATAAGGAAAAAAGAATAACCATGGGAGGCCTTGTGAATGCAAAAAAAGGGGGTTAAATTAAATTAAGGGGTGACAGTCTCAGCTTGCACACAACAGTGAATTGCATATTTATTAATGGAGACTAGCATGCAGGTTTGTGCTAGTGACACCACAGTTTCTACCATGATGTAAGTTGGCCCCTTACCAGTTGTTTTACCACTCTTTGAGACTTCTGGATTTGTAACGGTATTGTTTGGGAATCTCTAGAGACAGCTGCTGGCTCCACTGTGGTCTGGAATATAGACCACTATATTGTTATGCAGCAGGAGGAACACCTGAATTTTAATTAAAAAGGATGGTAATTATGGTCAGTGCACTCTTTATCTGGTCTGGATACATTATACATTATGTAGCTAGTGTGTGGAGTTTTTTGGGGAATAGTTTTTGATAACTGAATGTAATATTTGTATTACACTGGAGGTCTAGCTAGAGTTGAACATGGGTTGCTGTGCATGGTGAGACTAAAATATGTTAGTACTTTTGTTTTAAGTAAACGAGGTGCCATGGGCATTACTTTGGTAACATATTTATGTGTAAAGAGAGAAAGAAGAGAGAGAAATAATATGATATTGCATCACATTATGTTTTACTCTCAGCTGATTGGTATTTTGTACAAAGAACCATACCTATGATTTTGTTTTATTATCTGACAATAACAACCACAAAGGTTTATTTATATGTCTATTTAATTTAATTGTCTATTCAGATTTGAACAGTTTTTTAAAATGGTGGTTGCTCTTAAGAATAGTGTCAAAACACATTCATATATTGAGCTATAGTTTGATGGTTAGTGTATTTTCTCTAAGTGGGTATCTTTTTGTTGAAGGCCACAGCAGCAACGGGTAGACAGATTTTTCTGGTTCCTTGTATTATCATTTTCTTATGAGGGCAAACTGCTAAAAATGAATATTTTTAATTTTTGATGAAGAGAAAATGTATGCCTTTTTTGTTTCTTTTCAATCTTTATTAAATTATCCCTTTTTTATTCCATTGAGAGTAACTACTGGTCCAGTGATTGACAGTGGCTGATCTCCATTTTTGATAAAACTGTATTTGAACATGCTTTATTTTTTGTTAATCTGTTTAGCTTGATATCTTTTTTAAATAAGCATTTTTTTCTTCAGGCCAAATGCTAATTCAATGGCTGATCTCCACATTTGATGAGGAGCACTACCTACACTATTATCTTGAGCGGCAGGACCTACGTCTGCTCGCTACACAATTCTGTACACATCTTCTTGCTGCTGGGGTGATGAAACAGATGGAAGAAAATGTTGATGGAACAAAGAACTTTAAGGTATTATTTTCATAATGTTTACTGCTGTGTTGCTTTTAGGTATAAATTAATGATAGATATATTGAAGAAGTTGGGAAGGGAGCCAGCTACCTTTTCTGAAAATTTAAACCTGGCAATTTTTTCTTTTGTGTGACACCTCCATTTTTTTCCTTATCTTTACATGGAAACAGTGTGACTGTAAAGTATTTATCTCTTTTTAGTACAGAAAAAAAGTAGAAAACCTGAGGTCACAAGGATTAGAATGCAAGGTTGTAAAGAAGAAGCCTTACCTGACAACTTGCATTGTTTATTCTTTTTAGTAGCCCCAAGTACTTGATGGAATCAGTTTCACTTTGTTGCATGAGTGACATTTATGTCTGAATGATATACATAATATATGGAATTAATGGAAACATGAACAATCTGTATTTGAAAGGACACAGAAAGAAATAAGCTTTAAATTCTGAACAGTTTTTTAAATAATAAACTTTCCTGGTCACTGATGTAGATTTTAGATTGATATTTCTGGTGTATTGTTTCTGTTTGATATTTTTAAACCAAGGGGCACTGCTGGGGTTGCCACCATCCCACCTACTCATTCTTTTACTGTTGCCTTCATTTAATCACAAACATTTGTTATAATCACAAATATAAGTTTAGGGAAACAAGAACTTTACCTTTTCTTTAAAATTATTTTGTCATTTTATGGGGAAAAAAATTCAAATAAAATGCAGTAAGATAGATGAAAAATTCCCATTTATTGTTTTTTCAGCCCCTTGAGATGTACTATTGGACTCATACTGAACAGCCCATATATCAGTATGAAATTCTTCCTGAAAAATTGGTCCCGGTGTGGCCTCCACCCAGAGATGATGGAGGAGAAGAGAAACCAGGTCTCAAGTACACAGAAGCAGGTACATCACTTTATTTCCTTACATTTGCAGTATTTGATCTATAGAATCGGTGATGAAATTGCCTTGCAGTCCAAAAAGCAAGGTTTAGAAAAGTATTTATTCGTTTATTTATTTTTAAATGGTTTTAGGAGGATGGTGTTGTCCCCTGGTTTTGCAAATAGGCAGACATTTTCTTGTTAATGTTCTGGCATCAGACACCTTTGCGAAAGTGTTTTCCTAGAAAATCAGTTTACTGTAATTTTCTTCCAGGAAAGGAAAAGATGGGGTATCAATACTTACCTTTTTATATGCAGAGTCTAATAAATCATGTAATTATGATTATTTAAGTGATCATGTAAGTGCGTACACTTGGGATAATGCCAGGGTTGAATATGACCATAAAAAGTTATTGAAGTATAAGTAACATCCCCAGATGTACGAGCTTTCCTATGCAAGATTTAAAAAAAACATTCCACATAAAATGTACATGAAAGCTGTTTGGACAATTTTATTGAAACATCAAGCAGTACGATCAGACATACAAGCCTTCAATGCAACACAAAAATAAAAAAGTCCCACAAAATGTAAACGGTGCTATTTGGACAATTTTATTGAAACATCAAGTAGTATGATCGGATGTACAAGTCATCCTGTGCAACACAGAAAAAAAATTCCACACAAAATGTATATGGTAGTATTTAGTCAATTTCCTCCATGTTATCAGTTCACCCAATCAAGTTATAACTGTATGCATATATTTAGGGAGGAAATAAGTGGTAGTTTTTGTGCAGTGGGCGGAGATAGTGATGATGTATATCACATTGTTGAATTAGTATTATTAGAAGTTAAATTGAAAAAATATATTCAACTGATTTTTTGTTAGTTAATGCATGTCAAAACTTGGACAAAACCGGAGGTGAATAGATAATTTTAGTGAAAGCTTACATGTAGTGATCTGCCTAGCTCAGATTTTTTAAATTTTGATGTTATTCCAAGTTCAGATTTAGAATTGTATTTTTTTAGGCTTAAACTAATAACCCACAACACAAGCATTTGAGAATACTTGGCCTTAGTTGTATTCATTATAGGTTAGGGCTGGGTTGCTTAAAAATTTCATGCTTTTTCTTGTGACTAGTTCTATTAAATTGCTTAAATCCACTTTTTATAAAAGGATATTTATATTTTTGTCTGCTCTGTTAAAGTGAACATTATTACAATATATCCTTTTGGGTAACACTCTTTTCTGCTTTCAGAACTTTTTACTTGTCTGTCTATTGCTTATTGTTTTTAAGTAGCTTCACAAACAAAAGAAAGTAATTCATGTTGACATTTTGTTAAGATCGAAGTTCTGTTAGTTAAAGTTTTAGTTAAAGAAAGCATCTTAAATGCCAAGTCATGACACTAATTTTGCATTGTGTAAAGGTTTTAAGTCACCTTAGCTTAAACTGAAATACAATTGTTTTTAATGACTGACATAGACAAACTGTTTCAGCTTCTTGAAAATGAAAAACTGCATGCATTTTATGAAGCAATGAATCTCCTCTTCATGTGCAATTATTTTTATTTCTTGAGATGAATTCTTCTGTATATATAATTCAACCTTATAGTAAAAAGCCTTGTATGCATGTCTTTAGCTTGTAACAACAAAATTTGTTTGTTTGTTTTTAATGTCCTTATCATCCTACAAGATGAGATAAAGGCTACAGTTTGACACAATTTTAATGACAGATTTAATTATAATCGGATATTCAACATTATATCATCTGATTTATTAATTGGACTGAATTGTCTCTCTATATGACAAAATTATGTATCTTGTTTAAAGCTTTGCAAAAATAATGTTTGTTGTCATTTTTCATGATGTTGTATTTCACAAATATTTTTTTCAGTTCCAAATTTCAGTGTTTGCAAAATGAAGCATGGTTAGTTTTCTTTCATGTTCATGCAATGGTTTTCACTTAGAATTTCAGGCTTTGGCCATGGGACTTATCAAAAAACACAAAGAAGACTTAGCATTACAAAAAGTAAGTTGAGGATCAGTTGAAGGTAGATGAATTGATATTGGTATTTAAACTCTATAATTTTTTTATCAGATCCTTTGGTTTACCTCTGCAGAAGGTGACCAAATGGAAATTGGTTATATGAATCATCATCCTGTATTAGGTTTATTATGTATAAATTACTCATTTCGAAGAGCATTTAACTTAGAGGAACAGACAAAAAATTAAGATTATTGTAGCATATTTGGAAGAATAATTATCATATTTCTTCTTTGAACTAACACCAATAAGTACAAATTTTAAATTACTTAATTGTTTGAGTATTAACATTTTTATATTTAAACATTTATATATATATATACCTTAATGCCTAAATATATATGTAAATGTTAGAATCCCAGAGGCATATACACTAAAGATCAAGAAAACATATTATCTTAGTAACTGCTGAGAAGCGCCATGTCCTGGGTAGGGACTGGGTAATTCTACCCCCAGTTACTGGGTTTGGTATCTTTTTTACTGTTAACACTAATGACCCTGCCTCTCCTGAAAACAAAGAGAAATACATCAATTAGTATTGTTTACTTGGATCATTTGGTGCTCTGGTACAGTGATATGGGGTGTCTTCTTTACGGAGAGAAATTCAGTATTTGGTCAGTAGTGGTCAAGATGAATTCACTGACCAGTGGATGGACATACATAACCAGATTTTTTGTTAATTATTCACAGAAAGAGCATGAAGATCATTTGGCTCAGGAGAAAGGGGAACAGCAGCTAAACTTTGCAGAGTTTCAGCACAGGATCAAGGCCCTTGAGCTTGAACTGGCAAGGTATAGAGGAGATAGTGATGCTGGATTTCACAGCTTAAAGGAGTCTTGGCAAGAAGGGTTCAGTCCCAAATATCAAGAAAGAGGGGTACAAACTGAACTATCAGGACTCAGACTGGGTGATGGAGGGATTGGACAAAGGACTGATGGTGAACACTCTGGCAGTCTCCAAACACCCACAAATAGGAACTTAAATAGTGATAATACACTTGGAAAATCACACAGTTCTCAAAGTTCTAATTCCTCACAAAGTGCAATAGAACGGACTTCAGGTTTTCTACAGGATAATTTAAAAGATTATTTGAATACAGACAATGGTGCTAACTCTGCAGGGGCTGGTCCTCTGCCTCCCCCTCCCCCACCTCCTCCACCGCCACCACTTGCCTCCAACTTACCTCCAGTACCACCACCACCTCCGCCTCCTCCTCCACCCGGATCCCTAGGACCACCCCCACCCCCTGGACCACCCCCTCCTCCTGGAGGGCCACCACCCCCTCCCCCATTGTCAGGTTTTGGAGGACCACTGGCTGTGCCTAAAGGTAAGAGGCAGACGTAAAATTTCAAATAGATCTATTAAAGTGCCTTTCTAAAGGATATGTATTTCAAGTTGAATACTAGTGCTGCACTATTTGGATTCTGTAAATCATTAATTGAAAATTATGTTGTACGTTGTATATTAAATCCAAAATGGAAACTTGCTTAAGTCATTTTTGGGGAGTCTGATAAAAACGTGTAATGATGAAGGATTTTGTATACTTTTTTGCAGTTTTCATTTGTGTTCATTGTGTGAAAATTGATATTACCATGCTCTTATCAGACTTCAGTGCGCTTCACCAGATAGTGCCTGTGTTGCACTCATAGACTACAGTTCATGAGTTTGTTCTTAATAGACTGGTTTGGCTCATGATCAGAAGTTAAAAATTGCTGGTGTAAAAGATGCAAAACAATACATTTTACTGCCATTGAATTTACTTCTTTTTGACATATTCTCTAAGGTCCAAGAAAACCAGCAGTGAATCCTAAATCAAAGATGAAAGCTTTGTTCTGGAAAAGACTACAAGTACCTGAAATTCGCAGAATGCAAGTCCCAGCAGACATGTAAGTATTTGATGTTTGCTAATTGAAACTAAACATGTAAGTGCTTTTTCTTTCACGTTTGTTTTAGTTTTCATGTTTTTTGGTTTATAAGAGTACTCTTGAAAGTTGGATACATAATTAACACATTGTTTTTTTCTTTAATTCCAGCAATGACGTCAAGCCTCTGTGGGAAGATTTAAGAGAGATCNGCCTCCTCCTCCACCGGGATCCCTAGGACCACCCCCACCCCCACCCCCTGGACCACCCCCTCCTCCTGGAGGGCCACCACCCCCTCCCCCATTGTCAGGTTTTGGAGGACCACTGGCTGTGCCTAAAGGTAAGAGGCAGACATAAAATTTCAAATAGATCTATTAAAGTGCCTTTCTAAAGGATATGTATTTCAAGTTGAATACTAGTGCTGCACTATTTGGGTTCTGTAAATCATTAATTGAAAATTATGTTGTACGTTGTATATTAAATCCAAAATGGAAACTTGCTTAAGTCATTTTTGAAGAGTCTGATAAAAACGTGTAATGATGAAGGATTTTGTATACTTTTTTGCAGTTTTCATTTGTGCTCATTGTGTGAAAATTGATATAACCATGCTCTTATCAGAGTTCAGTGCACTTCACCAGATAGTGCCTGTGTTGCACTCGTAGACTTCAGCTCATGAGTTTTTTCACAACACTTGTTTCATCTTAGTAGACTGGATTGGCTCATGATCAGAAGTTTAAAATTGCTGGTGTAAAAGATGCAAAACAATACATTTTACTGCCATTGACTTTACTTCTTTTTGACATATTCTCTAAGGTCCAAGAAAACCAGCAGTGAATCCTAAATCAAAGATGAAAGCTTTGTTCTGGAAAAGACTACAAGTACCTGAAATTCGCAGAATGCAAGTCCCAGCAGACATGTAAGTATTTGATGTTTGCTAATTGAAACTAAACATGTAAGTGGTATTTCTTTCACGTTTGTTTTCGTTTTCATGTTTTTTTTGGTTTATAAGAGTAATCTTGAAAGTTGGATACATAATTAACAAAATGGTTTTTTTTTCTCAATTCCAGCAATGACGTCAAGCCTCTGTGGGAAGATTTAAGAGAGATTGACTTTAATGTTGATGAGTTTGATACTCTCTTTTCAAAAGTGGTGATTGCTGAAAGGAAAAAGAACAGTGAAGACCGTCCTAGGCCAAAAAGACGCCAGGTGAAAAAAATTACATTATTTTGTTCCATCAAGTTAGTATAAGGTGAAAAAAATGTAACAATATTTTGCTGCATTATTTTTCTGTGGTGTAGATCAATTTTTGTTCAGTCTGAATTTATTGTATTATTGATTATTAGCATTTGTGGAAAATGGTAAGATAAACTGCAATATAATGAATAAAGGACTGGAAAAATTATGAATTACAAGAAAAAAATTCAGTTGAAATACTCCTATAGTTACAAATATTATAATAAGTTTGAATTGTGTATTATATTGTCATGATGTTCTTCCCTTTTGTAGGTTACTAAGCTGCTTGATTCAAAAAGGTCCCAGACACTAGGGATATTGATTTCTAGTCTACACTTGGACTATAATGAAGTTGAAAATGGTCAGTATACAAAATGGATCTCAGATATTACTTTTAGATCAGTGTTTAAACTACGAGTTCTAAATCGAACCAACATCCTGAGAGCTACCAGTCCACTTGCAGATCAAGTGCAAAAAACACAGTCAGGGAGCAGATCATCTCGCGAATTTTTTGTTTTAAAAGGGGTTTGCCTAGAAACCTGTAAAATTTGACGACAACATTACCTTAACATAATATTTTGTCTGACAAAATCAACACCAGGTGGCCATCCTTAATTCATTGCTGTGGTTCAGTCTTAGAAACCACCACTCTGTAAACCTGGTTTCTGAGTTTTTTGTTGCAAGTGCAAGAATTATATTTATTAACCTCTGAAAACCAAAAGGGTCTTAAGACACCTTTCACATTTATGGAGGTAAAATGTGATGGATTGCGTTTGGTGTGATTGCTCAAAATTTGTTCTGAGAAGAAATTGGTGAGAATGATTGTATTTGATACAACTCTTGATAGAACACTGTCTGCTTTTCATTTTTCAGAACACCTAAACCATTAAAGTTATAATTATATTATAGTTATCCATTGTTATCTTTGTCACATGTTACCCATAAATGTTGCTATTTTTTAAAGGAAAAATAACTTATTTTGTTTCAGCGGTCATGAATTTTGATACATCTGTAATAGAACTGGACACACTGCAGACTTTATATGATCAAGTAAGTGCATGTCCTAAAGCTAGAAATAATGAGACTTTTTCTAATACCATTTTGTGAGCTTTTGTATGAACAAGCTTGAATAAATACAAAATAAAATGTTAATGATGAAACAGATGAACCATGAAAATGTATATTGTAAATAGTTTGATTATAATTGTTGAATTTATGTTTTGGAAGGCAACTGGTATAAAATTTTCTTACACGTAACTGTCAAGGACTTATTTGTGTTTGCTATTTTTCTATTCTTGTAGAGACCCCAGTCAGAAGAGTTAGAAATTATCAACAATCATTTGAAAACAAAAGCTGATATAGATTTAGATAGACCAGAACAGTAAGCCTCTTGCTCTTGTTTTATGGTTGTAAATGTTTTTATCTTTTATCTGTTATTTTTTAAATTTTATTTCTGCATTAATTTTTTTTCTAAGAAAAATAAGTAAATAGGTTAAGTTGCCATTAAGTGTAGTGCCAAATATCTGTTATGCAATTTTATCTGAGATTAATCTTGGCTGTTAACAAACCCGGAATTTGAAAAGATGGCAGCATTTTCAGTAATGCCATTTTTTATTATTGAGAAGATAAAAAAGATTGACAGGATAAAAAGATTTTGTTACATGTATATTTGCATTTCAGATTTCTACATGAAGTGTCACAAATTCCACACTTTAATGACCGTCTCTACTGCTTCATCTTCCAAACGACATTCTCTGAGAGCTTAGCAATGATTGAGAATAAGTTGAATAACATAAAGATGACTTGTGAGGTAGGTTTTTATGTTCAAATTTGACCTTTGAGATTAATGCATTCCCTTTAGAATAACATCAGGATAAAGTGCAGATTAAGGTGAAATTATTGAATCTTATGAATCATCCCAAAAGTCATCATTAGTAATCCTTTCATTCCATTGCCATATTACATGGATTAATTAAAGATAAGGGTGGAGTTTACCTTGAAAGTTGTGCTATTTCCGTAAGTCATTGGATAGTCCTTTGTAGTTTCCTTTATGTGTACTAGTATATGGACTGGGTATTTGAAGTTTTTAAAATTTTAACATTTTTTTCAGTATATGTTACACAATAAGAGTCTTCACCATGTGTTTGGTCTACTTCTTGGTTTAGGAAACTACATGAATGGGGGTAGGTATATCACACATAAAAATGTATTACAATTATGTTATAAGTGAAATTGGAATTATATTTGATTAGATAAAAAAGAAATAACAGCCTGATTTCTGCATGGAAAAAACTATTTAAGTCCCAAATAAAATCAGTTCAGTAACTTATCATTTATTCCATAGCTCATTATATTTTTATTTGTTGACTTTCAATTTAAAGGAAAAATTAAAATGTAGGTTTTTATAAAGAATTGTTTTAAACATGATTGTCTTTTGTGATCAGGCAGCAGAACAAGGGGACAAGCTGACGGATTTGGACTGGATATTCTGAATAAACTGAAAGATGTCAAGGCTAAGGTAAAAAGAATATTACATTTGTAATTGATGCTTTCATCCACACATTTTCATTAAGTTTATTCACCAACTAGATAATAACACACATTTCATTTTGTTTTATTTGTGGACAATTTTGATGACGGTTTCTAGCTTCTATTGCTTTGTCACCTTATTTGTGATTATTGGGTTTCCAAAATGGTGTATATTACATAATGTCATAGTGTGTAATTAGAACGCTTCATAGTCTCATAGTCTAATTCAACTTATATCAGTACTCATATAATATATATTAGCCAAAGAAGCAAAGTGCAATGAACTCGCATGATAAACTATTATATGAAGTTGTGTCTGTTCATTGTATTAAGTCCCCGTCTGTCATTTCCATCTCCAATGCATGCACCACACACACACACACACACACACACACCTTTAAACACCAAAATCTCAGTGGTCACATTTCTCACCCCTCCAGGACAATTCCATCAATCTGCTCCATTACCTGGTGAAGCAGTATGTGCACAAGTTTGAAGGGGAGAATGCAGGCACAGACCATGTCTTACTACCAGTGCCTGAACCCAGTGATATCACCCAGGCAGCTATAGTACACTTTGATGATACACAGAGGGAACTGAAAAAAATCAAACAAGACTTGGAAGGTAAGTTTTTTTCATATGGTTATATATTTCATGGAATATTTATGCATATTGGTAAGGTCCTTAAGGAAATATGGATTATTATCTAAATGATTTACAGTTTTGAGAATTGGAGTGTTCTAGATGGGGAAGGTATAAGAATAATGCCCTCCTAAAAAAAAAAAAAGAGGGAAGGAATGCAAAACATCATGGTTTTTCTGTACTTTGAATTATTTGATGATTTTTTTAGCTTGTGACAAGAAAGCCCAGACTGTGATCAAACAATCTGAAGAGGCAAATAAGCAGCCATTCAAGAGTAACATGGAGAACTTCTGCACTAGAGGTGATTAAATTTATGTCTGATATGACAAATATATAGTAAAGATAATGACAGAGAAATCAAGTGAAGATATTAAGTGTTTTGTAAAGGGATGTTAGTGAATTTATATCCATGGATAGATAGTAAATATTTGTAGCTTTAAGTTTATTTGTAGGATTGCATTTGTGTGGGTTATGAGTTTATATATATTTAAACATTTAGAAATGTAGGTGTAAATAAAATATTTTGCATTTCAAGGTAAAAAGGAATTAAAAGAGCAAGAGGAAAACCTTCAAGATTGCAAGAAAAGGTGAGTCGATGTTCATTTAATTAAATCACACTCTTGACATTTCATAGAGTTTGAGGTCTGTTCAGACTTGGACCACTTTAGACTGGGGAGAGGGGAAAAAAAGCGAATGTCAAAATAAGATAAGAGTTTTCTGGATTATTCAGAAAAAAAACCTGGATATTTGGATCCCCCATAAAGAGTTGGTGTCTTCAACATTTGTATTTTCAGAATGATTAAAGGTCCGCTTTTGTCTCTGCTCAAGTGTTTGTGTCTGATCTAACCTTTAAACACATTCCTTTTTGAATGAAATATTTTTCAGCAATTTTTTTAAATTTCACACATTTAATGACACATTAACAGACTTTTATCATCAGTTCAGTCATCAGTATTATATCCCACAGATAGTTTTTGATAGCCCCAGATGGTATCTTGGTCTTGACAATTCATGTGTACACTTATTTTTATGCGCATTTTCAGGTTTAAACAAGTTTTGGTATATTTCTGCCAGCCATTAGAAGGAAAGGATGGCAAGCCTTTGCTGCCTAAGGATTTCTTTGCACACTGGGTTCCCTTTTGTGGTGACTTTAAAGATTCATGGAAGAAAGAACAACAAGCAATAATTAAAGAAAGGTATAAGCAGCATATTTCTTGATGAGAATAAATGAGGTATTAGAAAATTATAAGATTTAGATTAAATTCCTATATATCAAAATATATTCTGGGCATTACTGAAAAATTGCTGGCAATTTATTATTGATCTGTTCTTTTGAAAATTTCAGACTTCAGGAAGCAAAACGGAAGGTTGATAAGATCAAAAAAGAGAAAAGAGTTTCTTTAACTAATACCAGAAATATTAAGGCAGGGGGACTGGTAAGTTATATAATCATATATTTACTTTTTTATTATTATTTTGATGATCTGGATTTTTTTTTTTACTAGAATGGAACAGTGTACAGGATTTGGGACTGAAAAAAAATACAATAGTAGACAGATTGATCCTTAACATTAAAAATTTGGTCAGATTAATTAAGTTGAAGATTCAAATACCAGTATGTCTTTGGTGCATTTTTCTATGTATCTTGATACATGCAGAAGAATTTTGAAAAAAAAAAGTCTTGTCAGTGACATGAAATCTTAAACTACAGTACCTTGTTCAATTTTTAAACTTGTTGCACCCAACAATGAGTACATTTCGTAACAGATGTTGTGACTGCTATAGAAGATTGTACAATCTTTTGTGACTTGTTTGTAATTTTACCTTCCCAATGTATTTATGTCTTCATGTCACAGAGCTTTTTAAGTGTAAGGCTGACAGTGATTTATAACACACAAATCTCCTGTACTATTTTATACAGATACAAGATACTTCTTTGAACTGAAGGTTGCTGTTTAAAGCTATAAATATTCAATGAAATCATGAAAAAGGCATATATTATATACTAAAATTAGAAAGTTTCTTTCAAAGGTGGTGTTAGATTAAGATATTAATAATTAAATGTTTGAAATGCTTTATATCTGGTAAGGTGAAAATATAAAGTTTCTGTAGAAAGTTATATACCTCCTTTTTGAAAAACTTATCCAATTTTCATTGTCTTTTCCAGAAAGCCAGGTTGGCAAGTAAAGGTCTTATCTGAACCTTGCACCAAACAAGTAAGTAGGTTTTGACTTTTAACTATGAAATAAAAGTAATAAAGAACAAGTTTGATGTTCACGGGAGAAGAGGGATGTGTCAGCATAATGCCAGTTAATCAGGTTGTCTTTGGACCTAATTTAGGCCTATTTTCTTTCTAGTGAAACCTTCTTCTCATGAAGACCTTAATATGCGTAGTTGAGCACAGGCTAATTAATTTATCCCTTATTCCCATGTTTTTATATTAAACTAGAAAAGCACTCCGGGAGTGCAGACCTCCGCCAAGGCAGCATTTTTTTTATTATTATTGATTATTGATTGATTATTGATCTGGATCACCACCAAAAACTAATCATCCCTGGCCCACTTCTGACAGTTCCTGAAAATTTCATCAAAATCGGTCCATAACTTTTTGAGTTATGTTGATGACAGACAAACAGGGGTGAAAACATAACCTCCTTGGCAGAGGTAATTATTTTTTAGCCTTTGTTCTTTGCATTTGTAATCTTAGTTAAAAAGTTCGATAACAGTTACTATAGGTAAATGTTAGGACCAATTTGTTGAAATTTTTTGTTAACCTTGACCTATTTTTCAAGTGACAGGTAATGTAACCTGCGAAACTGATCACTGATCACTGATCAAGGGTAAGAGTTAGCCAGGAGCTTTAAGATATGTAAATGCTCCATAAATGTTTTTGAGTGAATTGATTTAGACATTCCCTGGATGCTTTAACTCATCATTTTTTATAATCTCATGTCTTACAAACCAGCAGGGGTGATTGTTAAGTGCCAGGGATGATTCTATAATTTTCCACATTAAAATAATTTTTCTACATTTTCTTCCCCCTCTCTGCCCTCTGTTTGTTTCATGCAGGTTGTTTTTATATTTTTTCCCAAAAAAATGTGGGACAGTGGTAAGAGAAGTAACATCTCCCACATTTTATTAGGTGTTTCCCCTAGGGGTAAGACAGATTTTAACTGTGCTTGGGGGGGGGGGGGTGAACAACAACCACTAGTCCTTGCTGGTATGCTGAGAGAAGTTGATACAAATAAATAGAATCTAGACTTAATATTTTGAGCAAAATTTATTATCAGTTTCCATGTTTAAATCATTTTCAGAATATAAAACTTCTTTCAGACTACATCTTCTTGACAGTGTTTCTTCTGCTTTCTAGACATTCCATAGTTTAGCTCTCATTCTGCCCTGTTGATTCACCTGTGTTCCACCTTTACCCTTCATCTTTCATATTCGGTGAAATAAGCCATAGTGCTTGAAATTTTTTGATTCAGTTTCTTTAAACTTCCGCATCATATAAACAAATCTTTGTTGTAATCAAACAAAAAAAGATGATATTATCGCTCCTGAAAAATAGTCTGTGTATTTCATTGCACTATCACAATTGTTACATCTATCACAGCTATATATTTGACACATCATCTTGTTTACATATACTTCTTATCTGGCCTTAGTCATAGAAATGATATTCAATATTCTTCAGGCTACAGTGCCTTTGAAGAATACAAGAGCATATTTGTTAGTAGGGGCCAGTTAGAGATGTCATGTACCAGCACATTTACAAGTTGTCTTCAAGAATGTGATGGCATGAAATAGCTAGAATATTTATTGTATGACAGTATTGACAGCTACATTAATGTCCAGGACATTTGTCAACATCGTGTGACTACATGTAATAAATACAGTGTCTAATTCATTTCTGGTCAAGGTAGATTAAGTCGTCATAAAAGAACTGTTTTATTTATGGTGGAAAGATCAGAGGTGAGGAAGAGTTGGTCTACAAATAACTGGCCCTGAAAAAGGGAACAAGAATTGTCAGGTTTCCCAACTGCACTGAAGCAGAATGATTGGAATAAAACTGTTCTGAAGTTTTTTTTCAATCAGATTTTTTTCAGTCTTAAATCATAGTAATATATAATTGCATTATTCTTGCCATAATGCAAATTGACAGTTTCATGTTTTCTGTATATATGCCTCTTTAATTTTTATCCTTCCCCCTCTTTTAATACACGCTAAAAAAAAATCAAATCAGAAATAAACTGGGGCATGTAATTTTCTTTTAACTTCTATGCTAGAAACTTTTGTCCGATCTCTTTTTTGGACATAAAAAGGATCAAGACCTTATTGATCATTTTGATAATTTTATGAAATTTACACCTCAGCGTTAATACATTGTTTCCCCAGCAAGCAATGGCAACATTTGCACTTAATGTTTTACCCTCCACATGATATCACCTGCAGCACTTCAGTTACATGGAAAATTTACTGATGAAATAGTTAAATTGTAATCCAATCTTCCCCCTTAACTACCCTACTCTTAGTGGTGACAGCCCTGGTTGAAGTTTCATCTTTTCCCATCAGTATAGACATATTATTAGATGTGCATGTACTTTGTTACAGCACACTTCTGAATCAAAGGAGTTCAATTTTACAATTAAAATTGATTAGTATAGGCAAACCATGCCAGTCAAAATGCCATTGCAGTTTGACAGGCAGCTTAACTAGAGAAGCAGAACTTGCAGATATTCAGAAATACTGCTCAAAATATTTCACAACAAGGCAGGTCATATTGCAATCAAGAAATGATTATTACTCTAAAAAGTACTGCACATCATTTCTATATATATATATATTTCCCTGTGCAGAGATAGTGGAGAGTGGTGGGGATGGCTCCATATACAAGAGGGAATGTATGAGAGGTCAGAGCAGACAAATGCTATCATGATACTGTGACATAACCTAATGTCCAACCTGGACACTTAACCCAATGTTAGTGCCTAGCACCACAGAGTCTGCAGCCATTCATTCGTCACTGTTGTGTCTCGACAACAAATAGGCAGAAATGGTACTGCTGCCTCCACTAAGCCTTGTTATCTACTAATAAGGTATTGATACTTGTCGCTGGCAACACATCCCACAATGTTATCATCTTCTAATGATCAGATTGACATGACAGTGACAAAGGGCTGTAGGGTAAGATGAAGCTGTCACATTTCAAACCCAGACTGAGTTGTCCTACCTCTGTCTCTCTCTCTCTCTCTCTCTCTCTCTCCTCTCTCTCTCTCTCTCTCATTACTGCTTATCTGAAAATGAAGCGCCAAAGTCTACGCGTACACGCCCAACTTTGGGGATTGTCCAAAGTGGCGACAAAACTAAATCTGATAAAAGTTTTATGGCTGGTGGAGGTAATGTAATCTGTTACAGAATATCAGTCAGGATTGAGGACTTGGTTGGTGTTAAAGGATTGGCAGAATGTCATCTCATCGCCTTAAAATTTTGTATTGTGAAGACGAAAGGATGAGATTTTTGTCTGTACTTTACAGAATACTAATGAATTAAAGAATAGTATCTTGTGAAAAAAATTCCTTATGTGTAATATTGATTTATTTATTCCAAATAAGTGTTTTTATGTATAGTAAAAAAAGCTTTTTTTATATTTTTTAGAATGGGCTATAAGAAGCCTTAACTTATTTCAAAACTAAAGAGATGCAAAAAGGATTTACAAGATAAAAAATGTAGCATATATAAGTTGATAGAAAGGTGAAGACAATAGTAAACAGAAAAAGGAAGGCAATAGACATACAATTTTACATTCATTTAGGTAAAATGCAGAGTGCTGCAACAAACTAAGTATTATCCCTTTATGGTAAGCATTTAAGATCTCATTAAAATTGTGTTATTCAAAGAATCCCTTCCATTTAATTAAATTGTTGTTTTGGTATTCTGTAACCAAGGCCCTGTGAGGAATTAAAATAACTTTTTTCTTAAAAAGGCTATACCATATGAATCCTAAAAAGTTGAATTGCATATTATCTGTGTTAATCATCATTCCGTCTTTTTCTTTTTATTCTCTTTCCTCTCCAGTTTCTAGGCCAAATGTTTTTCTTAATACACAGTTATTGAAAGAATATGCATAAAACAACAGTTATTGAAAGATTATGCATAAAACAGACCTGAAGTCAGCAATTTCAGAGGGAGGTCTTTTTCTGAAAAAGTGGACCTTTTTTACTCTTAATTGACCCAGTTAAGAAATGCCACAGAACCTAATTTTTTTTCTGGGCCTGGATATAATGTTACATACAAAAAGGGTTGGGTGTGAACAAATTTTGTTTTTATCAGCATGTCTAAATAGATTAACAGATTAAACCATATAAAAAGATAATGAAAAAAATAAAAACATTTGTATGGGAAGCTTGACTCCATAATATCACTGTGCTCACATACCCTGATGCAATCTTTGCTTTATATTCTTACGTCTATGATTATTATTATTATTATTATTGTTATTTTATTTTAGGCACATAGATGATAGAGGAAGGGTGTAACTTTCAATAAATAGATTGACAGACCAAGAGACAAACAGGCAATTCTTACACCATGTCTACAGGAGTGTGCAGTAAAACAGAGTAAGCTGAGGAAAGACCTTCCACTGAACTGGTTTGTCAAGAGATTTGGATTATTTACGTGCAATATATACATAAAACGTATATATAGATAGATATATACATATTGCTGCTGCAGGTTGTCATATGGATTCATTCTGTGATAATTCCTAAAACATTTTTCATCAAAAAGTGCTAATGGGTATTATTGATGTCATTCTCTGAGGGTTGATACAAGCTGTCTACTTTTCTAATGTGACAGCGCCTTCTTGTTTTATTTAGTGCACAAAGTAATCACTGTCGTTTTGTATTTTCTAGTAATAAATTGATAAACAAAGCATTTTGCCAGTTTGTCAATCATTAAACTCTTATTATGACATCTTATTGTTTACACCTGAATGTTTTGTAAGAAAACTGTTAATACTTGTAAAATCAGGTGGTTCATATTATACTTTAATACCTACTTATAGCTAGTCTTCGTTAATGTCTAGCTCTTTAATTCCAATAACTTTGTGGAATTGTGAAATTAAATTTATGTTTAACTTTCATCTGTTGTCTTGACTTCTTTGAGATATGTAGCAAACATTAACTTATGAGACCAACTGTAGTTCGTTTGTGAAAAGCGTAGAAATGGATGGAAAAAGTTTTAAAGGGAGGAGACGAACTGGTCAGCTTTTCATTCTTTTTCTAGGACGCAAACATAACGTCATTCTTTCTCTCTCCCACACGTGTATGCGCACACACGCAAACAACACACTGGCTCCGTGACCTGCAATTGTACTTTGGTTTCATCGCATTGTAATATCATATTATTAAAAATCAAAACCCATGGCGCCTGTCTCAGTTCATTTTTCATCTTAAGGTAATAATCTTGTCTCCTTCACCTGCGAAATCTTAAAAAGATCAACGAGTCACTGTCATTTTTCTCACCAATATTATAAGCCAGACTGGTTGCCTATTGTAACATTCAATCTAGACAAGTCGTTGGTAAAATTACAATAACTGTCATCCGTCATGATCAGACCTACAGTAACAATAAGTAACGATTATTTGTCTCAGTGGGCAGGCTAGCGTGGGAAGGGTTTTTTTTATAGAGGTTGAATAACCCTTGGACGATGCTATGATCTACGGAGGTAGATTATATAGAATTTTCTTTGGTTTAGTCATCGAAGGAAGAAAGCTAATTACTTGTCTCTCAGCGTAGTAAATCTCTGGGAAGGCATCAGCCGGGGAGGGTGGTTATCTCTAGAATGCCCCGTGTTGGTGGTGCCACGGTGCCAGTGCTGCTCGACACTTCTGGCATGCACAAATATTATGGATGGATTCCTATGCGTTCTTCTAAGGACAGAGCTGCGTTCAAGCACTGCAGCCGACGTACTGGAGTCACACATGTCAGCCGAGTGGATTTATGAGGAGGGTTGGAGGGAAAATTGGGCAAACATTAATGATAGCAGTCTGTGATTCTTCTGCCATGCAGGTAGACTAATGAGATCTTCATTTCATGAACAAATGTTGATTCTGCAATATCCCTATCATTTATACCTCTTAAGTCCTCAGCAAATGCCACAAATCTTCATACAAACACATTGGAGGGAAAAGTCAACTGATAATTCGAGATTTGATTGTTGAGTTTGTTTGCAGACAACTTGAGATGTAGGCAGTACTAGACTTGTGGTATTTGCATACGGGAGCCTGATGAGTATGGACAACCTCCATGGAGTAAGGCATTTCTTACGGAGGGGAGGGGGTACACCCTTAACATTCCCCACCCACTTTCAATAAAAGGGTGAACCGCCTTCTGCTTGCCTGTCGCGTTTTGGAATAATTTTTGATGAAGTCAAATTTTTTATGGCAAGTAGACATATAAGTTCCATTTGTGATATGCCGAAAATCACCGGTAAATTGCTGAGGAATATAAGTCATTTTACGCGAGCTACAAATACCTGGAAATCGCATGTCCTGATATCTCGGAATGTAGACATTAAAGAGCATCTGGTATCACAGCGTTAAAAATCAAGGTATAAAACCTATAACAGAACAATTCTTCCACTCGTACTTTAGTGTTTAGTCATTAGTTATTATTTTGTATAGTAAGTGAAAAAATTTGAAGAATTGAATATTTTTTCTTTTTTCTTTTTCAATCAGTATCTTTAAGATTTACAAAGGACGGTGCCCTTAATCTAGATCATTCACACAGCACAGGGCAATTAAATGCCAACTTTTCGTGTGAATTTTTATTTAAATCGATCCCTACTTAACATTGCGTGTGTTTCCCACTGCCGCCCCGTCATACGCACGCGCGCACGCACGCACGTGTGCACTTTCATCTTCACCTAGAGTTGCGTTAACCTCAGATATTTCAAAATTGTGGAAGCAGTCGATCTTTCTCTAAGATGGCGACCGGGTAATATCAACTCACTTCTATATGTACGCTATTTCTTTTTCATCAATAATAAATACGAGATCATTCACAAATTATAAAGTCACACTCCTACCCAATAAGTGAACGTATAAACTACAAATTCTTAAACGATCATAGGTTGGAGCAGTATAGTTTTATACAGTGTGTAATTGGTAAGTTACAAATCTCTCTCACACACACCCTCCTCCAACATAAAAAAGAAAGAAAGAAAAGCAAAATTGCGTGCACTCATTGAACCTGAACGTTGATTTACAGTTAGTCAATAGCCAATGATACCATATCACGCAACTGGACGCGTGCGTGCAATATGCCATGACGAGGATTGGGTGCCCTTCAGCTGATGTCGCATTGATACACTTATAATAGCGAACAAATTAGAGCTTCCAGTCGCTAAGGTACATAAGCAAATCTATGGCCTATTTGCTGTGTGTATTTGTCTTCCATCAAAAGCAACCCCTGGAAACTGTTTGAGACAACCTCAGAAAATTATCAGACGTGTTTAAGATATCAATTGTTTTGAATGGATGTTTTTGTATATAGTTAAGAGTGAACAATGAAACAAAATGAAAGATGGCATCGCTGCCGTTTATAGACGTTAAGATATAATGGCGATTTTCCAATTAGAAACGATAAGATCGGTATTGTAAGATAAGAGTGCTTACATCTATGTTGTTGAATTATCTCAAAAGCACGCGCGCTACTAGTTTTTGCATTAGAACCTATCGTAGTATTCATTGTGTTGTGTGCTTACAAAGAAACTTAATTCCGCATCTCGCATTTTCGTTGATGTGCCAATCAAAATAATTACTATTACTTTTTCGCCTCGACAAGTTAAAGTATATGATTAACTCATTCTGTCTTGTAGATCCACCTTATTATTAGATGTCGTATCGTCTCTCAATCTGATGCTATCGTAGGGCTTGCCCGCCAACTTGGGTGGGGTGCCCGAACGTAAGACAGAAGCCTGGATGAAACGCGGATATTAAGAGAAACTTATACGATTATTTTAGGGACTGCCACTGTAATTTCATTGTCATTTACTGACGCATGAGAATGCCCCACCAAGAAATAAATACCCTCACATTATCTGAAGAGTTTAACCCTAAATCCATGCACGTTTTTCTCGTTTCCTGGATATATAGCCCATGATTGAAATGGTTCTTTGGGTGGGTCTTGAGAATGTTTGCTATAAATATGGATTATAATATGTATATTCACCACGACAGTAAATTGTTTCTTTCTTTTCTGTATTGTTCTTCACTAAGTAAAGTGTTCATAAACAATAGGACAAGATATCCCGCCACCGACGTGGGTGGATAACAGGTACTACATCAAAACGCCAGCGAATGTTGAATTAAAACTACATATACACGCCCTTGAAAATACAAGGAGACACTATTTGAGCGCGTCTTTATGGATCCCTGGTTCTATAAAACAGCACCAAATAACATCATGATTCTGTACGCTGATTGCAAGACAATACTACACACACCCCCGTAATAATGGTACACGTAGTAACTTTATAATAACTAAAAACTACATGAAATAAAATTTAACATCCTCGCATTTTCAGTTCCATCTCATAGTATTTCTGGATGTGTCTCACAACCACCACTGGCTGACCATTTTACAATGGATTTCATGCCGCATTTGTAGAAAACTAATTTTGTAGATAAGTTCGTAAGAGGCATCTTATATATTCTATGTAGTCTTGTTTATCTCGAAAGAGTTTTTCTACCACAGTGTATTTCTAGGAGCAAGGTAAAAAAAAAAGGAACCAACTCAGTCGCTGCCTATAGCAAAGTGAGTCCGGCGAGTCCAGCCGCTCTCTGTTCTTTTTTGTTATCAGAAGCCGCGAGTCCGCCTCATAAATAATACTGCCCTGATGTTTAAATTTCAGCTGGCTCTCTTAGTACAATCGTTAAAAGAACATCTATCTGCATGTACCTGGAACGAAAACATAACTAGCTATGACACAACAGTAACATGATACACTGCGTCCTGTCCCCATTAAAAGAAACAGATATGATCCATTTTTGATGCTAACGTGTTCACCGTCCCACTCGAGTAACCAAAATGACCATCTGTGGTTTCGAAAAAATAATCGGCATTTTCATTAAATACGCCATAGTAATATGTCTGTGTAGTTTTTACAAGTAAACCGTTGTCCAGAAAGTAATAAAATTGTATGCTTTGTCTGGAGATGATTGACTCATAACACAGAAAAACATAACGCAACAAAAAAAATCTCTACTTTGCGTACTCTGCAAAAATCTTGTGCTAATATTTCCCTATCCTGACCCGAAACAAGCTGTGTAACAGTATTATAGTAACACCAATGCATCAGCGCACAAAACATCGCATCGTTTAACTTAGTTTCCCTTTCGCCAGATTTTGTTAATCTATAAAATTGATTCTAGCTTAAGATAGGTCGGGTAAAGTAGCATATTGTAAAACGTACTAATTGTTGTATTAAAAATTAGATTGAAGGCGCTTTATGCTACAGACACTAAGGATAATCATCGCCCTAAATACTCCCCCCCCCCCAACACACACACACACACACACACCTCATGTTATCTTGCTGGAAGCAGACTTCACTACCATTCCGCCGCTAGGGAGAATGGTCTTACTGTTGCACACGATATAAACACCCTTACGTGAATATCGTCTTTTCATCATACTTATACAACTATACAGGTCCTCTGGTAGAGATTTGCATATTTTCAAAAGCCAGTCAGAAGCAGTAAATGGTTTGTAGAGACAAAATCAATTTTTTCTGGCCATTTTGCAGTGATTATGCATGCATATCTATAGCAGGCGACATAAAGTGGGGGTTTGTGACGACGGATTGTCTAGCGTCTAGCCAAATAAACCTTGAGTAAAAAAATATAAGTAGGAAGTTTACGGGAGCATATCTCTTAAAAAGTCAACGTCTCGCGTCTTTTGTGGAAGAAAATTGATAAAGCGGCAATGCGTAGAAAATATCAGGAAGAAAAAAAGTACCAGGTCGTAAAACAGCAGCCCCTGTATAGTCGCGACAGTTTGATGGGTTCACTTGCTTTGTGAAGTTTCCAAAATTGAAACGTGAAAAACAGCTGGGTTAGAAGTCGGACGTTCTATA